ACAAAGTATAACATCCATATAAAAGCCCTCAATAAGCAGGTTTAGAGAGAACATACCTCAACATAATAAAGGCCATATATGAAAAACCCAAAAACATCATCCTTAATGGGAAAGAACTGAGAGCCTCTCCCCTAAGGTCAAGAGAAGGCTGTCCACTCTCACCATTTTTATTCAACATAGTACTGGAAGTCCTAAACACGGAAATAAGACAACAAAAGGCATCCAAATCGATAAGGAAGAAGTAAAACTTTCACTATTTGCAGATGACATGATACATTATATAGAAAACCTGAAAGACTCCACCAAAAACCTGCTAGAACTGATAAACGAAGTCAGTAAAGTTACAGGATACAAAATCAATGTACAGAAATCTGTTGCATTTCTATACACTAATAATGAAGTAGCAGAAAGAGAAATTAAGAAAACAGTCCCATTTACAACTGCACCAAATATAATAAGATACTTAGGAATAAACCCAACCAAAGAGGTAAAAGACCTGTACTCTTAAAACTATAAAACACTGAATGAAAGATGAAAGAAACTGAAGACGACACAAAGAAATGGAAAGATATTCCACGCTCATGGATTGGAAGAAAAATATTGTTAAAATGTCTATATGACCCAAAGGAATCTATACATTTAATGCAACCCCCATCAAAATACCAACAGCATTTTTCATAAAGGTAGAACAAACCATCCTAAAATTTGTATGGAACCACAAAAGACACCAAATAGCCAAAGCAATCTTGAAAAAGAAAAGTAAAGCTGGAGGCACCACAATTCCAGACTTCAATTTACATTACAAAGCTGTAGTAATCAAAACAGTATGGTACCAGCACAAAAATAGACACATAGATCAACAGAACAGCCCGGAAATAAACCCACAACTATTTGGTTAATTAATCTTTGACAAGGCAGGAAAGAATATCCAGTAGGAAAAGACAGTTTCTTTTTTTTTTTCCTAATTTTTTTTAAAGATTTTATTTATTTATTTGACAGAGAGAGACACAGCGAGAGAGGGAACACAAGCAGGGGGAGTGGGAGAGGGGGAAGCAGGCCTCCGTCTGAGCACAGAGCCCGGTGCGGGGCTCGATCCCAGGACCCCGGGACCATGACCTGAGCCGAAGGCAGAACTTAATGACTGAGCCACCCAGGTGCCCCGAAAAGACAGACTCTTCAACAAATGGTGTTGGGAAAACTGGACAGCAACATGCAAAAGAATGAAATTGGACCACTTTCTTTCACCATACATAAAAATAAATTCAAAATGGATTAAAGACCTAAGTGTGGGCACCTGGGTGGCTCAGTTGTTAAGCATCTGCCTTCGGCTCAGGTCATGATCCCAGGGTCCTGGGATCGAGCCCCGCATCAGGCTCCCTGCTCCGAGGGAAGCCTGCTTCTCCCTCTCCCACTCCCCCTGCTTATATTCCCTCTTTCACTGTCTCTCTCTCTCTCTCTCTGTCAAATAAATAAATGAAATCTTTAAAAAAAAAAAAAAAGAAGAAGAAGACCTAAGTGTGAGACCTAAAACCATTAAAATCTTATAAAAGACATAGGCAGTAAGATCTCTCACAGTGGCTGTAGCAACTTCTTTCTAGATATGTCTCCTGAGGCAAGGGAAACAACAGCAAAAATAAACTATTGGGACTACATCAAGATAAAAACGTCTGCACAGCAAAAGAAACAATCAACAAAACTAAAAGGCCACCTATAGAATGGGAGAAGATATTTGAAAATGACATATCTGATAAGGGGTTAGTATCCAAAATACATAAAGAACTTCTAAAACTCAACATCCCAAAAACAAATAATCCATTTTAAAAACTGGGCAGAAGACACGAACAGACATTTCTCCAAAAAAAGATGTACAGATGGCCAACAGACATATGAAAAGATATTCATTATCATTTACCATCAGGGAAATGCAAATCAAAACTACAGTGAGATACCATCTCACACCTGTCAGAATGGCTAAAATCAGTAACACAAGAAACAACAGGTGTTGGCCAGGATGTGGAGAAAAAGGAAACCTTGTGCACTGTTGGTGGGAATGCAAACTGGTGCAGCCACTGTGGAAAATAGTATGGAGCGTCCTCAAAAAGCTAAAAATAGAACTACCCTACAATCCAGCAATTGCACTACTAGGAATTTACCTAAGAATACAAAAACTTGCACCTTAATATTTATTGCAGCATTATTTAATAATGGCCACACTATGGAAGCAGTCCAATTGTCCATCAACTGATGAGTGGATAAAAAAGATACAGTATATATATACACAATGGAATATTATTCAGCCATAAAAAGAATGAAATCTTACCATCTGTAACAACATGGATGGAGTTAGAGAGTATAATGCTAAGTGAAATAAGTCAGTTAGAGAAAGACAAATGCCATATTTTTCTCATATGTGGAATTTAAGAAACAAAACAAACAAGCACAGGGAAAAAAAGAAAGAGAGGTAGACTAAGAAGCAGACTCTTAACTATAGAGAACGAAGTGATGGTTACCAGAGGGGAGGTGGGTGAGGGGATGGGTGAAATAGGGGATGGGGATTAGGAGGGCACTTGTGATGAGCACGGGGTGTTGTATGGAAGTGTTGAATCACTATGCTGTACACCTGAAACTAACATAACACTGTATGTTAACTAATTGAAATTAAAATAAAAACTTAAAAAAAAAGAAGAAGAATGCATCCTGAAGGCTTATTGTTGAGTGCAGCGCATCTTAATTTTCTTCTGGCCCATCAGAAACTGAATCATGTCAGAAGGGCCAAATATTCCCTGTAGAGGGGAAAAAAATTTTGACCAGCAGCTAGGAAATTTTCCTGTTTTATAATTTAGATGCCTCTGTTTCAGATGTGTCCATGATTAACATGATACTAAATGTCTGCACGTATTTTCCTATGGAGCTCTTCTGTGGCTAGCGTATGGCCACTGGCTATAGACATCCTATGAAGTTCTAAATGGGAAAGGGTTCTCTGCCTCAGGCATGTCTAACTTTGAAGAGCTGAGGTTGAAACAATGCATAGGACTAGGGTTTCTCATTTAAAGACTTAAAAAAAGAAAGAAAAAGTAAAACAAAGCAAAGCATAACAATACCTTGCCTGTCACAGCTACTTAAAACGACTAGGTATTTTCTTTTTCTCCCAGAATTATTTTTAAGGATTTATTATTTAGTGCTTTTAACACATTTTCAAATTATTACACAATAATCATTTATTCACATGAAGAGGACATGAGCTGGAAATCAAGGCTAATATGTGGAACTGGTTTTAAAAGAATACCGTGTCCTAAGCCTTCATCAGATGCTAGAAAAGAGTTCTGAATGCTCATTTTATATGTAGTAGGCAACACGTAGTCAAATAGAATCACAATCAGGCATTGTGCCCAATGAGACCATGAGAGTCAGGAAATAAAAATATTCAGTCTGGAAAAAATGCAAATCAAACATCTCAGATGAAAATGCTCTTTTCTAAAAATAAATTTTTAAAGGAGGATATTTCTAGTAGAAACGTGGAAGCACAAGAAAGGAAGCTATCTCTTTATGGCGATTTGTAGATTACAGAACGCTAAGGATGTTTTCCTTTAATCTGACCGGGGAGCCAGTGTTAGAGCCTGGTTTGGGATTTAACATGGTCCCAATTTATGAGGTATCAGATTCATTGAAAGTCTTTAAGGAAAAGGGATTATCTGGTTCAAAGATAATGTTACATTCTGAGCTACTGTGGTCTCATGTCATCTCTTTAATTATCATTGAAATTCTAAAAGAAAGAGGTAATAAAATTTTAAAAAATTGTATTATCTACACCCTGAAAGCTTCAGAAATACTCACTTTGGGGAGGAGAAAAAAGATTCACACTTCAGAATATAATTTCCCCATAGTTGGCAATGTTCTGAGTATTGTTTTCTGAGGTCATTCCATTCATTAGAAAGAAAAAAAAAAGGTGCCTGGGTGGCTCAGTTGGTTAAGCGACTGCCTTCGGCTCAGGTCATGATCCCGGAGTCCCGGGATCGAGTCCCGCATCGGGCTCCCTGCTCGGCGGGGAGTCTGCTTCTCCCTCTGACCCTATCCCCTCTCATGTGTTCTCTCTCATTCTCTCTCTCTCAAATAAATAAATAAAATCTTTAAAAAAAAAACAAAAGATTCAGGAGATAGATTCTGTGCATCAGACATTGTCATCAACCTCTGAGGTTGCAAAGATGATATGATAGTCTTCAGCCCCAAGTTGTTCAGCGGAGTCTATCAAGAAATGTTAACTCCTGGGCCCCTGGGTGGCTCAGTTGGTTGAGCGACTGCCTTCGGCTCAGGTCATGATCCTGGAGTCCCTGGATCGAGTCCCTGGATCGAGTCCCGCATCGGGCTCCCTGCTCAGCGGGAAGCCTGCTTCTCCCTCTCCTACTCCCCGTTTGTGTTCCCTCTCTCGCTGTGTCTCTCTCTGTCAAATAAATAAATAAAATCTTTAAAAAAAAAAAAGAAAAGAAAAGAAAAGAAAATAGGTCTTCTGATCCTTCAGGGTATCGACTGTCACAGCAAAACTGTATATAGAATACAGAAAAATCTGTATTTGTATAAATCTGGGAAAGGGGTCAGACCGAATAATTAAATAAGTTATCCTCCTCACCACTAAATCTTTACCAAAATTTCTAAGTGTCTACTTGAAGAGATGTGCTTCGACTCCTTTTTATGCTGACTTCTGGTCCAACCAAAGTCTAAGGAGTTGAAGAAAAATGCAAGAAAAGATAAGCGAAGGGACTAGCTGATGCATAGACTGAATAATCCAAAGGCCCAGACAGTCTACACTTACTGTATTAGGTTGTCTAATTTGTAATAACAACATCTTAGCTACAAGAATAAGATTTAATTAGAACACCTTAGGAAGTTTTACTTTATAAAGTTACAACAACAGATTTCAAAATTATTTTTAGAAATGTAACAATAGGAAGCTTTGACAATCACTTTGGCAAATCACTTTCATTCAAATCTAATATTCCTTAAACTATAATTTCTTCCTTAACCAGGAATACAAGAAAATGTTTGTTTTATGGTGATTTTATTTAAATAATTAGAAGAGATCGATTATTCAAAATGAAAACAAACCTGGAAATTTGCTTCCAATCTCATATTTGAAAGTAAGTAAAAATTCTGTGCCAACACATGAAAGGAAAATTTACCATTTTTTTCATTAAAAAAAAATTCCGTGGGGAAGGGATAGTAATGTTTGAGAAACACTGATGTCTCTTGGGTAATTTTTTTAAAATAAAATGTTTTCATTCAAAGATTTTAAAATAGAAAAAATAAGGCAACTAATTCTGAGGAAATCAGGTTCTAAGTTAATGCATTTTTTGGTTAATTTATCAAAATTCATTCTGTGAAATTACCAGCATGGACCACACCAGTGATAGGTTAAATGCCCACAATGTATCATACCAGCAATTTTAATATTCTAATCATTTTATGAGATTGAGCTAAATGTTCTGTCCAGATAAAAGGAATTCCCTTATAACTGAGTAAACCAGTGTGGTTGCCTGCTTTAACCCAATTTCTTCTGGAGCTGCAGAGAAAAAAGTACCTATCTGTATTGACTATTGAAGACAACACAGTTTACAAAGTAATACTGTGCTTTGATTTCTAATGAGTTACATAGTGATTCTCCCAGTTACTCATACTTGAAAATCTGCAACAGGACTGCTTGAAGGAAGAAACAAAAGGATGACTCCCTATTTGTCTCCAGGAGCCTGAATGGGTGATCAGTTGCAGAGATTGTGGAACCCAAATCTGTATTTTCCCTCTACTTTTTGAAATGAAGTATTACCATCTATTGGTACAGTTTATCCTTTTTGACCTTCCTTTTAATTCCAGTTTTCACCGAGTCAGCTTCTTTTGGTGTGGTGGCTCTGGGGCCCTTTGTTGCAATAAGGGTTAGCTGACAGGAGAGAATGTGGCTTCTCAACCCCCAAAGCAATGGGCTGTGCCCCACAGGAGGGGAGAGAAAAGCTCTGCTTCGTTGCCTGGGGACCAGAGCCTCTGTCACTGGGTGGTGGAGTGCAGCAGCCTTGCTCTGTGCCCATATACATCTGGGGTTCATTTCTCCATGACGGCCGTTGCATTGTGCCTATACAAAAGGAAAAAGAAACTTGAGCATTCACATCATTCACAATGTCCAGCAAGAGAGGCCCTAATAATAGTGATTGGCGAATAGGCCTGAAAGATGAGACACAGAATGAATCCATTCTCAGACTATCTGGACCCAATTTCTAAAAAATGAGTCTTGGTTGGATGAGAGGACTCAAAGGCTGTGCCACCTGACAGTCCTCTTTGACTTTCTCTGTGCACTTCTCTCCCCTTCTGGGAGACTTGAGAACAGAGCTCAGGTTTTCGATGCACTTGTATGCCTATTCCCTAGCATGGTACTCCGCCCGCAGCACGATGCTAACTTAACCTGCACCAACTCATGTTGGCTGAGGTCAATGCATATGGTTCCATGGATCCACCACTAGTACAACCTGGGTTTTAATGGGTTTTCCAGGAGCAGAGCAGGAACTGGCTCAGAGCGAATTTCGATCTTTTATCTCATTCTCCATTCCCTTTCCCTACTTTAGATCTCTTCGTGCACTTTCACCTCATGCACTTAATAAGACAGCTGGCCATGATTGGGGGGTTGGGATTACTCAAACTGGGAGACAGTTTTATGAATGGCCCACAGAGAGTGAGTCAAGCTGTAATAGAGTGAGCAAAAAGGGAGATATTCTAATTTTTTCCTGTGTACTCAGCTAACCAAGTCCTTAGTTATTTTCTGAGTTTAACAACACCTTGGTCAAACCATTGTGCTACTGATTGACTGGAAAAATTATATGTATCTCTACATTGAATTATTTTTGTAACAAAGAATTATGTGCTTTTAGCTCTTCAAGAAAAACTAATATATAACTATAAGATATTCTATTACTTTCTAATAATGTTAGTATTAACAACAAAACCCAAGCAACTTTTGAAAATGCCGAATGTTTTCATTATGAAGGTAACAACACTGGGAACAGTTTATATATAAAACTATATTTATTGTTGTTTTAATATTCAATTCTTAAGTGTACCTTAATATCCAAGGCCTTCGTCAAAGAAAAAAAAGTTCTACTGAATTTGGGTTACACGGCAATGCACACACGAGACAGATGTAGAATGAGCTTTTCAAAACAAGAATCCTACGTTCTCTCTATGAGGAAATCTGAAGAGAAGAGTAAGGTAACAAGCATATTTACAGAGGGCAAACATCAGAAAATACAAGCAGAGCTGAAGCCCCTCTCAGCAGAGAAACTGTTTTTTTTGTTTTCTTAAGATTTTATTTATTTATTTGACAGAGAGAGAGACAGTGAGAGAGGGAACACAAGCAGGGGGAAAGGCAGGCTTCCCGCTGAGCAAGGAGTCCAATGCGGGACTTGATCTAGGACCCTGGGATCATGACCTGAGCTGAAGGCAGATGCTTAACCGACTGAGCCAGCCAGGCATCCCAAGAAACAGTTTTTTGTTGGTTCCAAGTTTCTTTGAAACTTTCTTTAAAAAAAAAAAAAAAAAAGATCTTATTTATTTATTTGACAGAGACACAGCGAGAGAGGGAACACAAGCAGGGGGAGTGGAGGTGGGAGAAGCAGGCTTCCCACAGAACAGGGAGCCCAATGTAGGGCTCGATCCCAGGACCCTGGGATCATGACCTGAGCCGAAGGCAGACGCTTAACAACTGAGCCACCCAGGCGCCCTCTTTGAAACTTTTTTTTTTTAATTTTATTTATTTGACACACAGAGAAAGAGATAGCCAGAGAGGGAACACAAGCAGGGGGAGTGGGAGAGGGAGAAGCAGACTTTCCGCTAAGCAGGGAACCCTATGCGGGGCTCAATCCCAGGACCCTGGGATTATGACCTGAGCCGAAGGCAGACACTTAATGACTGAGCCACCCAGGCACCCCATCTTTGAAACTTCCTAACCACTTATGATTCAAAACGTGCTCAACCTTGTCCTCTGAGTTATGAAATAAAACTGACATCTGAGCCCCAGGCCCAAGATGTTTATCATCATGTAACTCTTGGCAAAAGTATTATGTTAAAGGGTATCTAATTCCATTTCCACCTGACGCAGATTGAGTCCCAGAGCAGCCTGAGAACCCAGGTTGATTATATGGACCTTCTTCCAGTAGCTTGCATGGACTTCACAGATGACCAGGCATCTGGCTGAGGGCCAGCCCTTGATAAGACGTGAATGCTCCCAAATCCCCAGGAGGACCCCCAGATCAACTTAAATTCACAGGAACCTTCCTACTAGAACACAGAACACATTTTCTTAGGGCCATTTACAATTTCACCAGATCTATACCTACAGCTACCAGTACAGATCCCAAACCCCAAGAATGACCCCAAAACCCAACCAAATTCAAAAGAGAGAGTCACTCATTGTGTGCTTGCTCAAAGTGATCCAGCAGACTGAGTGTGACCAGAGTTTTGAGTGAACATGGTAACCTCATGCAAGATAAGAATCCAATCCAAATACAATTCTCTAAGGCTCTCTGGCATTTCAATACAGCCCAGCTGCTCACATAGCTTATACATGGTTTAACTATTGTGTCTGTGCTTCCATGAGACTTTCCCACTCGGAAAAACATTCAGGATCCAGGTAAAGATAGCCACTCACCTGGCTCCGGAGAGGAGAACTGGCTGACATCTGCTGGCTCACCATCCTTGAGGGCCACAGGTTGACTTCCATTCCTGAGATTTGGGTGTTCCTTTAGCACCACAAACTACAGAGAACAAAGGGAGGGAGGGAGAGAGAGGACATTGCCATAATTCATCAATTATCTCAACATACATGAAACCAAACTCTATGGCTTCATTATGTTCATCGTATGGAAGGTAAAAGCTGAAAGGCCCTGGCAAATTTCTTTCTCTTGCTAATGAAAGATTCAGTTTTCAGTTAGGAGCCTTATGTTGATTAAGGCAACTAGGCACTACCAGGACCTTTACTGAAGAATCTAGTCTAATTCTGGAATCCCAAATGTTGGGTCATGGATCCCAAGGATTGCACTATTTTACTTTAAGCAATCCAAGAATCCCTAAGTGTTCTAAGCATTGCCCAAAGACCAGACAAATAAGATCTAATATATATGTATGTGCTCCAGTTTTTCAAATGTGTGTGTGTGTGTCTAGTTAATAAAATTCATTTAAACATGCTACCAAGTTCTGAGTAATTTGGGGTCATTAATGGGTAATAATAACTAATAGGAGAACTACTATTTTTCAGGGATCCACCAAACGCTTTTTCATAGTTGAACACATTGGGTACAAGAATTCTAAAAGGCAGGCCCAGAATGATTCAGCATTTCTCTTTGGTCAAAAAAAAAAATTATTTTTGTCCTTATTATATTACCCACAGTTGATTGGGCACTTGCCATGCAGGCTGACCAGAGTCCACTGGCCCACATTCACACTAGATAGATTTGATACTAAAATAGATCAATGAAAAAAAGAATAGATCAATGCTGTAAGTTATCTCATGCCCTAGGACAAAGAGTGCAATTTGCAAAGTCCTCCCTCACCAATCAGTAACCCAGCAGAGGGACTGCCCCAGGATTTTAGCTGATCATGCTCTCTGTTGGTTCAGAAATGGGCCCTCCACAGGAGGAGCCCATAACTCAGAAATACAATAAGGAAAAGGGAATAGGAAAAAAAAACAAAAACAAAACAAAACCAACCACCTCCCTGCTCGTATTTCTCTTTGAGAAAAGTGTAGGAAGAATAACGACTGGAGTCAATTAGGGAGAGAAATGTTGGCGAATCCCATGAACATGTGTTTTCATTTTCTTATTTTGCACAATGCTAATTATCCTTCACTGCTTTCTCTTCGTTAATGGTCTCCCTGCAGCAACATATTGCCAAATCAATACACAACCCACTGTTTCAGGGCACATACCCATTATTTCTGACCAAGGTCAAAATCCAGCCCTCTGCACTGCAAATTTCCCAGCCACATGTTTTTCTGCCAGAAAAACAGAGGTCCTAGAATTCTGGGCTGAGGTGGGGAAGACAGCTGATGGAACCAGATTCGGTTCTGCTGCTTCTCCAGCTAGTTCAGATGCTCGGCTCTCTCCCATTCCCACTGCTATCTGCAGCAGTGGCTGATGTGAATGACAATTATGGTGGATGGTTATGATGGTGAGGGGGATGGAGCTCACAGCCCGAGGCCTCCTACCACAGCTTTGAGCCAACAAGCTGCTAATGACAGTGGCCAAGTGTTTTAATTTTTTTTTTTAAACTAGATACAGATTGTTTCTCCCTCCTTTCCATGATTTCAATACCATGAATTAAACTTGCTACCCAAAACCTGAATGAGACACCATATAGACCGACAGGCACAATATAGGTCATTTAGAAGTCCACAGTCATGAGGGCTCAAGGAACTGAGGACCTTCTGTAGGTAAGTCCACCCAGGAGCACACACTTATGGAATCCAAAGATACAGAAGGGATCTCAGAAGTCATCTAATCCAAACCCGTCAGTGTCCTGAAGAGGAAACAGGAGTTCAGTGACTTGCTGAAGATTAAGACAGCCAATTAGGGGGTGCCTGGGTGGCTCAGTTGGTTAAGCATCTGCCTTCAGCTCAGGTCATGATCCCGGGGTCCTAGGATGGAGCCCCGCATCGGGCTCCCTGCTCAGTGGGGAGTCTGCTTCTCCCTCTCCCTCTGCTGCTCCCCCTGCTTGTGCTCTCTCTCTCTCTCTTTGACAAATAAATAAATAAAATATTTTTTTTAGAAAAGACAGTCAATTAGTAGGAGGGTCAGGCTAGACTTCACATTTCTTATTTGATTTTTGTATTTTAAGTATCTGTAGTTTAAGTCTCAGCCAGAAAACAAGTATACACTGAATGCCTCTAAGAGGCAGGATCGGCGATCCCCGATTCGGTAGAAGCATGGCCACGAGGAAGCTCCTCTCTGGGAAAGCACAGTGAGTGGAGGGAGGGTTGAGGACGTGGTCGGGAAGGAGAGACATGTTGCCTCCACTCCTCCAAAACATCTCCCTAATAAACTTTTCCCTATTCACTCACAGGTTTCAATCCCCCATGGACCTGCCATATATTCCAGCCTCTTCTGCAATTCATGCCACACATAATACCAGCAGTACACATTGAACTACTCAAGTTGTCACTGACAGGTGCCTGGAAATGGAAATTCCAACAGTTTCAAGGGAGCTTAGCCTAGCCCAAGCTCGCCCTATATGGTTTCAAGATCAGTTACTGAAGTGGGTAATTTATGAAGCATTTTGAACTTCCCAATCTCTGTGCTTTTTGGAAAATGTATAGGTTTGCCAGATAAAATACAAGACACGTAGCTAAATTTGAATTTAAATTTAAACATTCACTGTAAGTATGAATTTAACGAGGCATTCTGTATTTTTATTTGCTACATCTGGCAATTATTTTGCTGTTGAAATTTGGTATTTAAAATGTATGTGAAGAATACTCCGGTTTCTCTTCAAAACGCATAAATCTTTCGCCTTTTAAAATGTATGTGAAGAAAAGAAATCTTTTTTTTTTAAGACAAGAAATCTTAAGAAAATTAGAGCATCAACTCCATTTCAATAAAGTCAGTTAATAAACAAACACAATAAATAAAATAAAAACAAACACAAGGGGAAATAATAAAATAATAAACAAACACAATAAATAAAATAAAAACAAACACAAGGGGGAAAAAAAAAAGAAAGAGAAGTAGAGCATAATCTTGGGCTTTTAAGACATCAATTTGAAAGAGACTACCTAAAAATTGGGAAAGGCTTTTCACATAAGCCATAAGAAGCTACAGGATAGAAAAAAAAGAGAAAAAATGAACTGGGATCCATATGAAGTCAATTTCTTGCTTCATGTACTTTGGTCACATTACCCAGGGCTGGGGACAAGAGGCCATCCCGGCCTCGCCGTCTGTAGACCTGCTACTGCAAACTTCTCTGCTCGACTCTTCATCAGGATTCTTTAAATTTTTTGATGGCAGCTTCTTAGTCCTGCAATAAAGCCAAAATGTGAGACAATTTCAAAACCAAACACAACTATAGCCCACTCAGGGATGGTCAGGCACAACTGCTTTTGCTACTGAAATGTAGGTACTTAAAATGTCTGAGAGAGAAGAAATATTAAGAAAACTAGGAGCATAACTTTAGGTTTTCTAAGGCGTTCTTTTCTGCAGAACTTCCCAGATATTTCACTTTTTCCAAGGTTCTGTGAGATGCCTGGGCTCCTCCCGCTAGTTTGGTGCCCCCTCCTGCCCAAAGGCATCAGATGCACACAGAGAGGCATCTGAGGACCCAAGAGAATACTATCTCAGAGTTGCCAAGCTAGGAACTAGAACAGGTCTCTTGCCTCCAAACCTAGCTTTATAAATACTTATTTGTTTCACAAACGCAAAGCACAAAGTCTATAGAAGGCATGGCGTCATGCCCTGAGGGGAAGGGCAGTAAAGGGAGGGTTTTCACCTGCAGAAGGTAGTACAGGTATTCCCTACATTCCCAGAGAACTGGGGCCATTAGTTAAGCGGGTCATGGGCTATTCAGGGTTCAATTAGGTAATTCTACAAAGTTCCCTTCTGCCCAAAAGTGTTATGGCTCCATAATGTTGTACAGCCCAAACTGTAACGGTACACACAACGTCTTTCGACGCTGATAATAGGGGGAGATAAAGTCCTTTGCAAGAAAATGGAAAATGATCCCCTCACCTTAATGTAGTATTCTTTTTTTAGTTAAATGTTTTTAATGAAATGTTTTTGCTCCACGGTTTTTAACTTTTACCTTGAAATTACTGAAAACACAAACCCCAAGGACCTTCCAAGTGAGGGAAAGTACTGATTCTCTTGAACAGAAGTTAATACTTTGCGGGAAATTGACTGAGTGGAAGGCAGCCACGCAAAATTAACTATGCAGCCTATGCGGGGTGTGGGGGGGAAGCAGGTGATGCCTAAGAGGAAAAAAAGGGGAATATAAAAATGCATTATGCTCAGTAACAACCCCATAAATGATGTAGATATACCGACAAGGACTGTAAAACCACCGATACTTTAGAGCCGTGAAATCCTCAGCCGTTTCTTGTTTTCTTTTACTCTTATTGCCCCTTTTAAACAAAGGTGGCGGGCGCCTGGGTGGCTCAGTCGTTGAGCGTCTGCCTTCGGCTCAGGTCATGATCCCAGGGTCCTGGGATCGAGTCCCACATCCGGCTCCCTCCTCGGGGGGAAGCCTGCTTCTCCCTCTCCCATTCCCCCTGCTTGTGTTCCTGCTCTCGCTATCTCTGTCTCTGTCAAATAAATAAATAAAATCTTTAAAAAAATAAATAAATAAAATAAAAATAAAATAAAAAATAAACAAAGGTGGCACGTGTGTAGAAAAAGTTCATCTCGAGGAGGCAGGCGTTCCCTTGGGAGGTGCTAGAGGGAGGTTGAAAGTGCCGACGTAAAGACAAGGTCACCTGTAGCAGTGAGCCCCCCACAGTCCCAGCAGCAGAAGCAGGACGAGCCCCACCACGCCGACGGTCACCACGGTGACTTGCTGCTGCCTCCCCTGGCCAACGTGGCGCAGTTCCCATTTCAAGTCTCGGTGCTGACATCGCTCCCCCACGTAGCCAAAGACACAGCTGTAACAACACACAACAGAGGTCAGCGCTGAGCCCTGGCCAAAAACCACTTACATATTTTCAGATTCGATATCCGGCTGTCTTTCACCCTCTGCATTTCCAGACTCAGCTCTTGAGAAGCATATGGAAAATCCATCAGGGGTCAGTTGAGAACACTCTGATTTACAAGTTAATGCAGCATGGACTTCCCCCTGTGGTCTGTTTGCCCTGGGATTGAGGAGGGATTATTTGCATACCACCTCTACAAGGCACTGCAGAACATTGATTAAAGATCAGCTTCTGTTAGGCTAAAATCCTAAGGAGCTACCTCTAAGACCAACACAAAGCAACTCTGCCCTAAGAGCCAAGAGAGTTTTTGGACAAATGTTTGGCCACATTGCAGAGAGTATAGGTCAAAGGAAGGAAGAATTTGAAGGCAGAGTCCTTCACTGGAGACCAGGCTTATAAAAGTGTGCGTGTAGTCTCTGAACAGGAAGTACAGCCTTGTTAGCCAAGGAAATAAAAAATCACCACTGGCCCAAGAGAAAAGGTCTCAGTGGCGACACATGAACATTTGTGTACTTTCCTCAAGGGAGAAAAAACTAAATGGAAGAAAAGGGGCTTTCATGGTGTTTCGTTAGTGAAACCCCTAACTAGCATTACCAGCCACCACCACACGCTGCAAACACGTAGATAAAAGTAAATGAAACAATGCTGCCATCTACTGGGAATGTATACTTCCAGAAATCATGGGATCTTGGGTACAATTGTATTCTACTCTTCACAGGAGCATAAACTTCAAAAATAACTTATTAAGCATTTTGAGCTGCTCACTTGTTAGGAATTTCCTCCCCGCTCAGCGCTGGGTCGGCTACCTATCCGCACCTCATTCCAAAAGGACCTGAAGGAATGAATGCCCAGGGAATTGATACTGGTCCTCCCGGTGGGAAGAGACAGCCCGGAAAAAGCATGAGATGAAGCTGCAGAAGATCTAGATCCTAGTCCCAGTTCTACCTTGAGATGGTCGTAAGAGCATTGGAAAGTCACTTTAAGAGAGAAGAAGAATGAGACTAGCATTTAAGCACGCTATGTATCTGACTGACACTTGCGAGGCACTTTTACGCATTTTACTTTCAAGAGCAGATTCCCATTTTACAGATGAGAAAAGTGAGGCTCAAAGCAGTTAAGTAATTTGTACCAGGTCATACAGCTGGTGAATGGCAGGGATTTGGTTGGTTGGTTGGTTGGTTAGTTGGTTGGTTGAATATAGCTGACACACAGTGTTACATTAGTTTCAGGAGTACAATGTAACAATTTGACGAGTTTATACATTATGCTCTGCTCACCACAAGTGTAGCTGCCATCTGTCCCCATATATCACTATTACAATATCACTGACTATACCCCTTATGCTGTGCCATTATTCCCGTGACTTATTCATTCCAAAACTGGAAGCCTGTATCTCCCACTCCCTTTCACCCATTTTGCCCATCCCCCCACCCCCACCGCTCTGGCAGCCATCAGTTTGTTCTCTGTATTTACAGGTCTGATTCTGCCTCTTGTTTGTTTATTCATTTTTTAAGCTTCCATATATAAGTGAAATTATATGGTATTTGTCTTTCTCAGTCTGACTTATTTCACTTATCCTAATATATTCTAGGTCCATCCATGTTGTCTCAAATGGCACATCTCATCCTTTTTGTGGCTGCATAATATTCCATCACACACACACACGCACGCGCACACACACACACACTATCTTCCTTATCCATTCATGTATCAATGGACACTTCAGTTGCTTCTACACCTAGGCTATTGTAAATGATTCTGCAATAAACATAGGGATGCACATATCTTTTTGAATTAGTGTTTTCCTTTTCTTTGGGTAAATACCCAATAGAATTATTGGATCATATGGTATTTCTATTTTTAATTTTTTGAGGAAATTCCATACAGTTTTCCACAGTGGCTGTACCAATTTATATTTCCACCAACAGTGTATGAGGGCTCCTTTTTCTCAACATCCTTGCCAATACTTGTTAGTTTTTGTCTTTTTGCTTTTAGCCAGTGAATGACAGGTTTGATCCAAATGGTTTTCTGATTTCAAAGCCTGTGTTCTCTCTGCTACATTGGGCTACTTCCTAAAAGGGTTTTATGCTCTATGCACCCCTGAATGGATCATGAAAGAGATGATAGGATCTAAGTGTAGGAAGTATAAAGGACCATCACGTTATTCCAGGCTTTCCTGGATACTGTTTTAATTCTAACTATCTTTGGTTATAGTCATTTATTACCAATGCCTAGCAGCACTTTTAAACTGTTGGGTGTTAATCTCAGAGATTTTGGGGTCTCAAGGAATATGCCAATCACATGGGCAAGAGTCCTGGGGAGCAAAGGCAAGCTGTCATATTGGGGCCTCCCTGAGCCATATATGGCCCAGAGCAGTTGGCCAGCATTTCACATGGATGGGTCCCCCACTACGAGTTCTTTGGGTTATTAATTAGTTCTGTTAAACCAAGCAAAAGATTTCTGGGTTTACTTATTCAGATAAATTATTCCAATCTGAATTTATTTGGTCAAATAATTTCAAGAAATTCTGGACTGAAGACAGGTCAACAACATTGTGGTGTACTATGATCAAGAACTGAGGGCTAGAGTATGTAGCATTTCTCAGACTGATTTGACCACACAACTCTTTTTTCATGAGACATTTCACAGCACTGGTGTTGGGGCAGCTTGGTCTAAAGAAGACCTGGCCAGAAGCATGTGGGTTGGTTCAAAGCCAAACCAGAATGAATGAGGACCTCCTCTTAGCTCAGGAGGCTTGGTCTTCTGAGATTCTCCAGACCAGGGAACCTTTGAGGAAGACATGAGGCATAGAGACTTCAGTTCTCACATCCTCTGCACCCCAGGCAGCCAGGGGATCTCTGTATCTAAGGGGAGCTCCCATTGCTTTCGAGCAAGGAAAGAACAGCCCTTTATAAACCTTCTCATGGTCTTAAGAAAACTCTGCAGAATGATGCTGATGAAGTGTTTCTAATAAAAGTTAGAGTGGTGAGCACTCCTAGAGATGTGTTATTATAGAATTTTAAAAATACAAGGTGAAGTCATAGAGACAAAAGGAGGAAAGGGTTGGATGTCTGATTAAACCACATTTTTATTAAATGCAGAATTCAAAAACAAAGTTACAATCTAGATTAGTGGGACCTCTGGGTGATATTTTAAATACTGCTTTTGATTAAAGCTCCTTAAATGTGAGTGCTATCTCTAGTTTAATCGTCATTTTGTAGCAACTCATGTTTAAAACATTATCAGGGAATAAGATATTTTCATCAGGATTTAATGACAGAAAGAAAAGCAGCGTACTGAAGAGTTCATAAATCATTTAATGAATTGATGCTATCAGGTCAAGTGAAAATAATGTACTAAATGCAATTCGTAATTGTGAAGTACCCTTCACATTACCGTAATGTCTCTTATCATCTAAAGTTTAAGTACCGTCGAGAAAAACAAACCGTGATCTAATAAAGTAGGATATTTATCTTCACAGTTTCATTATTTAGGATAATTAGGAGCCATGAACAAGAAAAAAAATTGATTCTTTTTATCAAAATCAAGGATAACTATTGTGAAGATTGGACTTATGTTAGAAAATTACAGCATGCAAATACGAACATGAGGGTAGAATTCTATGAGAATTGAGTCATTTTCACTAATATTCACGAGCATTTTTCATTCCTTTTGTCTAGCTGACATGATTTATAATGCAAGGCCATTCGCTTTGTCACAGAATATAACTTGTTCTTCTAACAATTTAGACTATGTTTCTGCTGATTATTATTCATAAAATAATAAAACCCTTTAAGCTTATAGCATCTATTCCTGAGGATCAGAATATTTTATCACTTCTTCCTCCGGCATGGAGAAATTATCAATGAGTCAGGAGTCTAGCCACGGGGGGCCTATTTATTTTTCAGGACCTATCAGTTTCCTCTGATTGACTTGAAAATACAAAATCCACTAAAAGTAAAATCTGATGCAGAACTAGATATTGCCGCAAGGGAAATGTTTTCTGAGTAAGTACAGTGGGAGGACCTATAATTTCAGGGCACCCTAAACCTACTTTTCAGTTGACTGTGCACACTGTGAAACCATCACAGGGACAAAAAAGGAACAAAGAGAAGCAGGGACTGCTTCCAGCAATTGTTACTAAGTAACAGAAATGTAAACACCAACTACTAGAAACTGAAGAAAAATATTTTTTTTTCTAGGTTTGAAAATTGAAGGTAAGAAGTCCAGTGTGTATATATAACACTTTTGTAAATTCAGAAATATATTGTAGATGTTCTCCACATATGAGGCAGAAAATAAAGTTTTAAGGAATTCTTTCACAAACCTAAGTTTTTCAGCCAGAACAAGAGGTTTAGGCCCCAGATTGTACCAGTAGTGACATCAAGGAAAGTAAAAGGGAAAATCACCAATTCTTTAAACGTATATTTACCATCGGCAGCTTGGGGGCTGGGGGGTGATATGCAGGGAGGGTGCAGGACGTACATACACACACACACACAATTTATACATGTGTGTTTATATGTTTTTCCCTAGCAAAAACCGAATTACAGAAAAAACTCCTTGAAACGAATTTTATGAATTAGCTAAAAGGTATGGACTGCAGTCTCATATCTCTGTGCCATCACAAGGACAGCTTGACTTACTTGCATGCATATCTGTCAACTGCTTCGATGTACATACACACCCCGTTATAGAGGCAATAGCCGTCATAGGATGAGGGGCATTCCCGGTAGCCATTTCTCACAGAAGGGTGGCCATCCTCCATGAGATGAGAAGGAGACGTAGAGTCTACAAGAATCAAAGACATTACTTTTACTTTCTGAAGTGATTAGGCCTTTCAGGGGTCAATATCCGGAACTAGTCTCTGTGAACAATTTGTGATCTAGTGTCTCTTAGTGACAGGAACTCAGAAGCAACTCTAGTTTTCACTTTCCTAACCAGACTTCATGTCATTCACCATGAAGCCAGGCATTCTTTCTTTAGCTTCAGTATTGTCTGACATAAAGCATACTGGAGGCAAGTAAGAGAATGGTCAATTCTAAATTACTGCATGAATCCCGAGTCACTGGTCTCATTATGAAAGCCATCTGTCATCCACAAACACCCACCAATGATGTGAAGTGACAGCTAGCTTTAAGAGGGTCTCACTGAACAAAATCTCTCTTTATGGTTTATAAACTACACCAATATACAGCCCCTTACCCCCAGTATCCCGGAAGCCTCAAAAATTTCTCCCATATAATGTTTTTCTTCTAAAAATGATGTAAATATCAGGGGAGCCCTCAAAGACAAGACTAGCAAATCTGACAGAAAAGAAATGTTACCATAACAGATGGAATGTCAAAGTGGTAAAGTCCCTTTTATTGAATAGTTCTCTGCTCATTAAAAGGAAAACATTAGGGTGTGTGGCTGACTATATAAATACTAGCAGTCTTTCAATACTATAGGAAGAGCAAATTATCTGAGAAAAATAATGTGTTAAAAAAAGAGACCCAAATAAGTGTGGAAATTTCCCTTCTTAAGATGTTTCCTGCTTGCAGAGCTGAAACAGGTAAACAGCTGGGAGGTGGTGGCAAAAGAGCCCCCGATCCTGGTTTCCAGGGTCTGGGTGAAGCCAGCTCCCCTTCTGGGGTACAGGTGGTGAGAAGATACTGCCATTTGGGGAGAGCCTCAAGGAAGCAGAAGTCAACTGTTAACATTCAAAAAGAAAGAAAAAAGAGCTGAAGTTCTAATTCAGATCAAGAAACACTAATTTTTTAAGGTAATATTTTAAAAGCTTTAAAAGTGATTCAAAATGCTAAGGGTCCAGACATCCTTCCTGACCTGCCTTGACCTGCAAAGTTTTTCTAGCAGCCCCAGAAATCAACATTACAAATTAAGACATTAGTCACATAAAGAGAACCACCTGTATTCCCACCTTTATTGAATTGTGAATAATAAAAAAAGAATTTCTTCCAGATGTTATCAAATTAAGAAAACTTGGACTACTTCACATTCCCAAGCTTAGCATCCACCTAATCAGGAACGTAAACTCACCAGCCGGGTTGAATCGAATGATTTCTAGACTCTCTAGAGCAAATACATTGGGGTATAGAATTTTCCAGAATTAAGTCCCTTCCTTGGGCCTAGACCACCCACCAACCTACCAGTGCATATCCGCCCAGGTTCAGACAGGCTGCCGGCGCACATGCAGGTGTAGTTTCCCTCAGTATTTGTACAGGTGGCATTCTCCCCACAAGTGTGTATGCCCAATCGGCACTCATTAATATCTGCCAGGAACAAAGGAGTAGGGAAGAGAAAAGTGAGGTGCAGAAGAGGACAAAGGGTTATATTATTGGAAAAGCCAACATTCTGGGAGGGGAGCATCTTCAACCTCTGCCATGCTGCATGCTCTCAGAGCCTCTGTATTTTTTTGATTAAAAAGTTCTATCATGGGGGTGCCTGGGTGGCTCAGTCATTAAGCGTCTGCCTTCGGCTCGGGTCATGATCCCAGGGTCCCGGGATCCAGCCCCGCATCAGGCTCCCTGCTCTGCAGGAAGCCTGCTTCTCCCTCTCCCACTCCCCCTGCTTGTGTTCCCTCTCTCACTGTGTCTCCCTCTGTCAAATAAATAAATAAATAAATCTTAATAAATAAATAAATAATAAAAAGTTCGATCATGACTGTTGGACACAAGGATGAACTGGATCCCTCAGCTGCCTGCCCATTCAGGTGTTCTAAACTCCTGAAATAAGGCTGGATGATTTCCCAGTGCTTGGGAGGAAAGGAGACATCCCAATACACAGTTCAGTGGGAAGGTTGGAGATGGGTAAACTAGCTCTAGACAAACATTTAGAAAATCAGATCCGAAAGATTCATTCTTAACTGTTGCAAATAGACATCCAGTCATTGACATACATGTTATAGCAAATAAAATATTTCTGCATAAATATAAACTAAGTCATCCCTTTCTTTCCCAACTACCGATGTTTTCTTTCTCAATTACCACCAGCCTAACATTTAAATCCTTCTTCTCAATTTTACATTACTATAAGAAGAACAGTCTCACTACATTCCCTGCATCCTGTATCTCCCCCACTCTACTCCTAAACACCAGCACCAGATTAATGTCCTAAAGCACATCTCCCATCACTGCACCCCTTGACTCAAATGCTCTCTGTTGCCTAGAGTTGAGCTGCCCAATATGGCAGCCATCACCATGTGTGTGTGTGAGCACCTGAACTGCAGCTGGTCTACACTGACATATGCTGTAAGTGTAAAACATCTACCAGATTTTGAAGACTTAGTACCAAAATAAGAAAGAATATAAAATACCTCAATGATTTTTATGTTGATTACATATTAAAATATTAATATCTTGGATACGTTGGATTTAATAAAATATAAAAATTAATTTCACCTGTTTCTTTGTACTTTCTGTAATGTGGCTATTGGAAAATTTTAAATTATGTAGGTAGCTTATACTATAGTTCTACTGGATAGGGTTTGTCTAGAGAAGTAAAACCCTAATGACTGACCCTCAGCTTCTAGTCTTCTACATATGTAATCCAACCCACCTGTTATGAACTGAATTGTATCTCCCCCAAAATCTCTATGTTGAAGCTCTAACCCCCAGTGTGACCATATTTAGAAATGGGGCCTTCAAGGAAGTAATTAAAGTTAAATGAGGTCACAAGAGTGAGGCCCTAATCCAATAGGATTGAAGTTCTTATAAGAAAAGGAAGAGACACCAGATCCCCTATCCCCAAACCACAGCAGAAAGGCCATCTAGTTTACATACACTATACTTCGTGCTCCTGTAGGCTATTCTCCGCCCCCAAATAGACCTGTCATATGCTCATGCATGGAATTCTCCCCGTTCCTTCCCATTTCTGCCTAATGAAAATTTACTCATGCTCCAAGGTCCATCCACAGTGATACTTCCTTCATGAAGTCTTTCCTAATACCTCAAACAGATATTCTTCCAGTTGGGAACTTTCATTGTAGTTTTTACTTCCCTCATAATGCATACCCCTTTTCACCACTTCTCACAGCTCCCTGTCTCTCAGATCCTACTCTTCTCACAAGCAAGCACTACCTCCATCATTCTGGTGTTCCTCACACTAATGAGTACTGTGTCTTTGCACTAATAGGTGCCAAATAATTATTTGTCACATTGAACTGCTGCTATCCCAAATGACTCAAATTGAGTTTTTTTTTTTGCTTACTTCCTGTTGTAATTTCTATGAAATCTCTATAGTCTCTATATCTCTATAATTTCTATAATCTCAATGAAACTTGAGAGTCAGAGAGAGCTTTTCCAAGAAGCAAGAACAAAGATATACTTTTAGCCAAGAAATACAACCACTCCTAAGAATAAGCATAACTTATTATTTTTGTGTGGCATTTATTATGTTCCAAGCATGGTTTAAAGCACATATATCTGGAAGGAGGAAGGAAAGGAGGAGAGCAGGAAAGAGAAGCAGAGATAGTGGGAGAGGAAGAGGGAAAGGGAGACAGAGAGGAAGAAAGGCAGGGAGAGAGAGAGAAACAGGAATAAGCCCATTCTTCCATATGGTGTGAGGACTCCACACCAACCAGGTACGCTGGGCCGTGATACCCTTTTGCATGTTCACTACTGGAAGGAGGTAGGTTAGTAACAGAGAAACAGAGTTTAATAAGTTTAAACATCCAAAAAGTATGCCTTCTTTTCTCTTCAAAGTAAATTAAATAGAAAGCCTGCTTGTCCAAATTATCTATGAGCCTAATTAATTAGAGCAGTAACATTTTCCTAACTGACAGCCAACTATGTGCTGAAAAGAGTACTTACAAGCGACTGTGGACTCCACAAAACTAATCTGATAAAGGTCTGATTTAAACCAGCCAGATCCAAAAAAACTTGGGAGTCATGACTGATGTTTCATCTTTAAGCTCAGCATGTGGGAGAAAGCAGTATCATTTCAGTTTCTTATCAGGTCATCTGCCCCTTACTGTGAAAAGATTTGTATGTTTTCAGAAGGCAAAGAAAGTACTGGAAGAGACATGTGAAAGCCCTGTTAAACTCCCGGTAAGCACTTCACTGGGCTAGGATGACTTTAGGCAGGTCCCCACTTGTGGGGTGCTACCATGTTCCTGACACCTGGCAGGGTACGAGACATCCACTGAGTGAGCTCCCAACCCAGAAGCCACACCCAGACCTTGGCAGAGGACGGTGATTACGAAAGAGGTCTTGATCACTCTTTACTTGTATCTAAATGTCAGTGTCTTGAATCTCCCATCTACTGACACTCCTCAAGGGCCGCCTGATGAGCCCTTTCACAGAACCACTCCCCCTTTCCTTTATGCACAGAGCAGGGACTTCCAACAAGCCTCATCAGATCAGCTCTGCAGTTCACCATGGCTCACCTGCAAAATCCAAGGATAACGAAAATGCTGTAGGACTCCCCCCGAACCCCATGATGGCTCGAGGTGTGGAGTATTGATGAGGCACTGGTGTCACTCAAACGCGAGAGAAAGAATTTGGAAAGCAGAGGGGCCCGCCACCTCTGCAGGGTCTTGAAGCTGACTAGTCCCATCCTAACACAAGGGCACAACCCTGACTGCTCATCCAGAACTGAGATATGTCAGTTTGAACAGGTCACGCAACTTCTCTTTTAGTCTTAACATGTATGGCACTTAAATTATATCCTGTCTTTTCTCGACCCACCACACCCACAGTGTTTCCCAATCCTCTGAGGGCTGCCTCCAGGCCCCTCCCTAGGCACACACGCTCTCTTACCAAGACAGTGAATTCCATCACCTCGGTAGCCTTCCAAGCACCGGCAGACATAGCCACCTTCAGTATTGACACACTTGGAGGTGGGAGGGCAAATTGTGATGCCCGTCTCACATTCATCCATATCTGTGGGCAAAACGATGAACTAGTGAAATGTGGAGACAATCCTGGCATAAATGAGAATCGTAGGAAAAAATAAGTATAAGCTGACATATCATCATTCAGCCACTCACAGATACTGTTTGCAAATGTAATGCAGACTCTGCATCTTGGTCATAAAGTTCATTTCCGAATCAATTTTTACAGATTGCTTAGGTGTCTGCTTAGCTAAGTATGTGTAAATAAATCAGATTGTGCCAGAGTTTCAGACCATAAAAACTGAGATTTTTACAGTAACCACTAACTTAAAATTTCAAGGCATTCAATATAAAATGGAATCTATCCCAGCACAATCTATTTATTAAACTAAAACTTATGACCTCAGATTTTAGGGGGGAAAGTTGTGTTTTTATTGTAATTGGTGAATTTATAAATTTGACTCAAACTCAAATTCATGCTTCTGAAGCCAATTATAAAATTTTCTCCTTAATAGCAACTGCATATATTATATAATTCTAATACAAACTCACTATAATAGAACAACATACTATATGTTTCATATACTCTATATATGCCATCCTTTGTCTTTTTAACTAATATCAAATAATTTATTCCATCCTGCTGATTACATAAATCCTCTGGAGCTTTTGAATCAGTATTATCTGAAAGAATGTTTCTGGTTCACTATTTTCCAGATATGTGTATTGGCCTTTGCTCTTACCAAAACATAGTTTTCCATCCCCAGTAAATCCTTTCAAACACTGACATGTGGCATTTTCTCCCTCTGAAACACACTGAGCCCGTGTACTGCATCCCACAGGACCACAGTCATCACCATCTGCAAACAGCGAGAACCCCATCAGATTATTTGCAGACCTTAGGGGGAAAAGGGGCTTGAATGTTTTAGGTTCTACAGAATATTCCAGCACTTTCTTTCCAAGTTCTGGGACAGCCTAACCTCCAAAGAGAAACAATTAGTTGACCTGTAAGCTATATCTATATTAAAGGGTCCATAAGCTATATGCTCCCATTTACATGCTTTCAGTAAATCTTTAGTCTTAAAGAACTATTGGTGTTCAAAGAGCCCTGTGTGAACTTATGATTTTTTAAAAAGCATTTGCTTTTTTAAAGCAAACTTGAACTATAAAATTTCCAGGAGTAAATGGACTCAAATATCAAACCTTTTATTGTTTGAGAATTCTCAACCATTATGACTTACGATAGGGGTCAATATATTCTTATCTCCCCAAAAGACACAGACTAATATTTAACAAGTAGATCTGTGTACCAACATGGCAGAGACACAATAAATAAGAATTTATTACAATAATACAAGATATAATAAAAAGATTTATTGTCAATGTACTAAAATTATGTCTCATGTATATGAGAATATGTATGTCACAATGTATGTTTATTGTCAAGATTTACGCAGTGACTTGCAAACCTCAAGGCACTTTTACAAAGTCATGAACCATATAAACTAAATGCTGTAAATGGATCATTTCATTTCATACTCCATTGAAATGCAAATCCCCCAGGGGACAGAGCTGCATGTTGAGCCATAAACATGAGCAAGTTCTTTTTTTTTTTTTTTTCTTTTGACTACTTATATATATAATCATTCTCCAAATGCCACAGTTGGAGTTGGGGGGATCTGACATACCACAGCAGGATATAAACTATCATCTCTCTATTCACTGGTAAGTTTGCTCATCTGAGTACAGAAGAGGTAAAAGAGCCTTCTAAACTTGCCCATAAATTAAAGAAGGTTTGATGATCTAAGTAGGATTCAGGTTCCATGTGAATGCAGACATTGGGTAATTGCATTTGATTTGCTTAGCTATTTGTGTGAGATTTCTCTTGTGGGAACACATGCCCTTCATTCTTGCTTGGTCACCTCCTGTCACTCATGACTCTTCAAGATGGATAAGTTCAGACTAAATCAATTATCCATTTGATCTGGCATTTATTTGGAAGACTAGCTCTCAAGTCACAAGGCTTGTTCAGTGTATAGTGGACAAGATCCAATTACCCAAGACATTTTAAATCACTTGCAGAATTGCCTTAAATTAGAATATGATTCAGGATTTATTTGGTAACTTGCAAACCCCAAGGCAGCTTTTGCATAATGAAAAGCAATGGATATGCCATTGGGGGGTGGGAGATGGGCTATAGCCAAAGTTCTTTCTTCCACAAGTTAGCTCTGGAAGGAATGAGTGCCTGGGCTTCACATCCCTCTTCTCCAAAATATGGGTGACACTTTTTGTCCAGTCTACTTCACATGATAATTGTAAGGACTTGGGAAAAAAAGTGATTTAAAAAAAAAGACTTGAGAATAATAAATTTTATACATATGTAAATACGGATGATAAAGAAGAAGAGTATTGTGACAGTCTGAATCAGAATTAGCCTTATCACACTAGAAAAGACTCTTGGGCCTATTAGTTAAACTACGAAAATTAATTTTTAAAAGTACCTGTTACATGAGAGCTGAAAATACAGTGATGGAGAACACAGACAGGGTCTCTGCTTTCTTGTACAATTAGTTACTGAAGTACAGGTAAGATAAGCACTCTCAAGAAACAGTCCCAGGTTCTAAGAGAGCTGAAATAACTCTCATCTCACCTGCTTAGGGGACTAGGAAAAGCTTTCTGCGTGAGATCTGAAGCTGAGATCTGAAGGATACACAGGACTTGAAAGGGTTTAGAAAGAGCACTGTGAGCTGAGAACACAGCATCTGTCTGTTACAGACAAGGCCAATGTAAGTGAAGCCGGCCATAGAAAGTTGAGGACAGGGCGCCTGGGTGGCTCAGTTGGTTAAGCGACTGCCTTCAGCTCAGGTCATGATCCTGGAGTCCTGGGATCGAGTCCCCCATAGGGCTCCCTGCTCAGCGGGGGGTCTGCTTCTCCCTCTGACTCTCTTCCCTCTTGTGCTGTCTCTCATTCTCTCTCTCAAATAAATAAAATCTTTAAAAAAAAAAGAAAGTTGAGGACAGAGGGGTGCCTGCGTGGCTCAGATGGTTAAGCATCTGCCTTCAGCTCAGGTCATGATCCCAGGGTCCTGGGATCGAGCCCCACATTGGGCTCCCTGCTGAGCAAGGAGCCTGCTTTTTCCTCTCCCTCTGCCTGCCCCTCCCCCTGCTTGTACTCTCTCTCTCTCTCTCTGTCAAATAAATAAAAATCTTAAAAAAAAAAAAAAAGTCGAGCACAGAAAGGCACACACTGAGGCTGGTGAGGTGTGTAAGGACTAGTTCAGCTAGCACCCAGCAGGCCATGTTAAGAATTTCAAATTTTATTCATGAATTTAGAAGAACTCATTATTTTAGTAAACCTGACAATGAAACCTTTTTATGATTGAATTTGTCTTGTTGTATACAGATCTACTTGCTACATAGCAGTCTGTGTGTCTTTGGGGAATAAGAATATATTGATCCTAACCTAAAATCTATTATAGAGTTTTCAAATTCTTTTTAGCATAGACACTTTATTTAAATGAAATCTCACTACAAAATATAAATATGACCCCTTAGCTTAACATGAGTAGAACTAGAACTTTATAGACTAAGACAAAATAGAACCCAATTCAGATATGGAAAGATGAGGCAGTTTTCACAAAAACAGCCAATTTCATCTATTCTGCACAAGATAAAGTCTCAGGTATGAAGCCAAACACAGCCTATTATACAGTATATGTATTCCAAATCTTTGGCCTTCTCATCACTCCCCTATCCCACCCATGTGTCAGTTTACTATCTGTCATTATCTTGGTCTTTGAATCTCCCAAACATGAGTCTTTCAAATTATGCTCTGGGAACCTTCAGGGATCCTTAGCAACTTTTAAATGGTTTTCAATACTGCTAATATTTATTTATACTGTTTTATTCTATCATTTATTTGTCTCTACACCAGACGGTGACCTTGGAGAACAGGGCTATATTTGGCTCATCATCATATCCCTAGTGCTTAGCACAGCATGTAGAAAATTATTAAATAATCACTAAATGAGTAATATTCTTAGTGTGCTGTTTTCTAGACTTTCTCTTGACATGAATTAATTATTTGGTCATAATTTTCAAAAATTTTTGGTAAACTCATTACCTTAATATACCTTAGTCTCAGTTTTCAAATCTGTAAAGTGATGGATTGTGATAAGAATAAAATTAGAACTTATACATATATATGTATTATATATATATATTATGTGCTTTAAAAAATATTAGAGGGGCGCCTGGGTGGCTCAGTCGGTTAAGCTTCCGACTCTTGATTTTGGTTCAGGTCATGATCTTGGAGTTGTGAGATCGAGACCCATGGTGGGCTCCGTGCTCAGCAGGGAGTCTGCTTGAGATTCTCTCTCCTCTCCCTCTGTGCCCACCCCCAACTCTCTCAAGTAAAGAAAGAAATCTTAAAAAAAAAAAAAAAAAAAGAATCAAATTAGAGGGTAAAGTGCCTGGTAAACTCTAAAGCTCCATACAAATTATTATTACCAAAAATATCCACCTCTGTGTATTTTATAAAAAAATCATACTGATAAGTTCTTTTTTTTTAGAGAGAGGGAGGGAAGAGGGGCCAAAAAAAGAGAGAGAGAGAGAGTCTTAAGCAAGTTCCACACCCACTGGGGAGCCTGATGCAGGGCTTGATCTCACAACACTAAGACCATGACCTGAGCTGCAATCAAGAGTTGGACGCTTAACCAACTGAGCCACCCAGGCACCGCTGTATGGATAAGTTCTTACAGGGAGAGGTAAGCGGTCTCCGGGGTCTTATACACAAACAAAGTAGTCTGTAGACCACAAAATTTGGATGAGCACTTTCAGTGTATCTAAGGTCTTAATGTGGAGCCTTCAAACTTATTTTTAGCCACAGATACTTTGTTAAAATAAAATCTTAGAAATATAAATAAATAAAATGTTTCAAAGTAGATCTGTACTGATTACAGGTAGAGAGCAGTGAAGAAGGGGTGAGGTTTACAGAGGTTCTAGGGCTGAGTGAAGCCCAGTTTGAATATAGAGTATAAAAGAACTAGGCTCCCTGAAGTTGTTAAATACTGAAAAATTATTTAGCATCTTGGTGATAAATGTGCAATATAGAAGAACACAATTCTAACATTTGCTGTTTGTAAACTCTGGAGCAGCTGAAGCAACCAACCTATATTTGCTTATCAGTTACTATCTACTTTTCACCCTAATGGAAGTATATAGCTAGATGGGCTAAATATCAAAATTACTAGGTATGGATGGGGACACACTCAAATCTGTTCTGTCTTATTTTTCACCTTTGTTTCTAAGTTAGATTTCTTCCAAAAAGTTTCAGTTCAAAGACGCTCAATGAGTAAAGTTCATGTCCAGTCTAACGTGGAATCATCTTCCTCAGGCACAAGGTTCAGAAAAGAAGAAGGACCAAAGTTTGAGTCCAAAGTTTGGCTTCACTAGGTTTGTGTACACTTAGCCAAAGTTAGAGAGCTAATTCAGGATTCTAACTGGTAGGATGGAAATTGTTGGAACCAAAGCTATATTGGAGAACTCCTTATTCATACCTGATACCATGATTTCAGCCACTAGCAAATGCTGAGATTCTGTAATGTTATCTTCAAATCCTCTATTCCTGGATAAGACATCCAATGGCATTACTTGATCTGCTTCACTACCTAGTGAAGGGCAGAAGTTACAGTTACTGTACCTTTTATGATCAAGAAAGTTTGATTTAATTTATATTTATGGCTGTTTGCTGGTTGTAAGTTTAGACTTACTCTTACAGTAAGAGCATTCAGGGAAACTAGCAGTGTCCTGATGACTTAGAAAATCTTGCCTGCTATACCATACCCTCCAAGCATCACTCAGCGCACTTGATGGTTGAGGGTTGGGGGAGCCAGAGGGCAAAAAGACAGGACTCTTTTAGGTACTGGCAAAAACAGTAAGAGTAGAATACTAAAGTCCTTATGGACATAATCAACTCACAGTCACAGCCCACCATCACTAAGGACAAATTAATAAGATGATCTCCCCAACCTGCCTTCCATATACACTCCTTCTCCTTTAGGCTGCTTTAATACTTATTTTAGCCTTATTTTGCCTGTATTTAGAAATGTGGAAGGGCATAAACAAGCCATAATTTAACATAGGTATGGGACCTATGCAATTCCCCAGTACATGGGAAAAATGGATCCCCTAAAACACTAAGTGTGTTCTCTAAGTGTGGTCCATGGACCCCCGGGGCTCCCATTGCACCGAGTCCATAAGGTCAAAACTATTTTCACAAAATGCAAATACATGTGACATTAGATATTATGGAAGACTGCTGGCATCTCAGCATGAATTAAGGCAATGGTACCAAGCTCAACTAAAGTCATGTTCTTCGCCGCACACATTCTCTCTCTCTCTCTCTCTCTCACACACACACACACGCACGCACACACAAATCCTGTCTCACTTAAGAAGAACCATGATGAAGCGGTAAGATACTAATTTTTTAAAACCTCAACCATGGAACACTTGGCTCTTTAATATTCTATATAATTAAATGGAAAGTATATATAAAACACTCTGGGTACATTCTGAAGTTATGATGGACGTCTGGTCATCTGGAGGAAAAGCACTTGCGTACTCTTCGAGTTGCAAACTGACACTAGCCTCTTTTTTCATTGAACATAATTTTTACTTGAAAGGCTGACTGACAAGGGATGTTATTAACACTTGGAAATTTGGCAAGCGTTTTCTCAAAAATGAGGTGAGTCTGTCGTTTCAAGAAAAAGAATTGACAGTACTTACTGCCAATGATAAAAGTTCAGCTTTCAAGTGAAAAGTAGAATTCTGAAAAATTTTCTCCACTACCCTGAGCTTGATGAAAATCCCAAAACTCAAAGACCTGTCTAATGAGTTTGATGGTAACAATTAATGAATGTGACTTGTAAGTGTGTGTGACGCTTGGAAGATACGCACAACTCAGCCAATCCGTATTTTCAAATGACCAACATAATGCCACAAAATCATGCATTGGTAAAAGAGCCACTCAAAGTACAAAACAGACCATCGGATTTTAACATCGCCGGTTACAAAAAGTTTATTGATACGGCTTCAGATTCCACACTGCAACTATGGTTTAAGAATGACCTGTCCAGTTCTGCCATAGTATCAAAAGAAGATATACAAAAAAGTCATCTGAAAAGGCTATTAAATGATCAACCCTCTCTTTTCCAAATCCATGTCTATGTGAGGTCAGATTTTCTTCGTAGGCTTCAACCAAAACAACACAGCAACAGATTTAACATAGAAGCAGATATGAGAATCCAGCTGCCCTATATTAAGCCAGACATTAGGATATAAATGCAAAACAGTGCCATTATGCTCACTATATATTTTTGTTTTAGAAAATCGTTATTTTATTTATTTCCTTAAAAATATGTTCTGCTCATACATATTGGAATATTATTGTAAGTTTAATAGATATATTTTTTAAACTTTTAGTTTTAATTTCTAATATTATAAATATTGATAGATACAACCCACATTAGCAAAAGCTCTTTGGGGTTTTCAATTATGTTTAGGAGTGAAAAGGGGTCCTTGGGTGACACCTGGTGTCCAACTCTTGATTTTGGCTCAGGTCATGATCTCAGGGTTGTGGCCCTGAGCCCCAGTGTCAGGCTCTGTGCTCAGTGGGGAGGCGCACACTCTCTCTCTCTCTCTAAGATAAATAAATAAATCTTTTAAAACAAGAGTGTAAAGGGGTCCTAAAACCAAAAATGTTGAGAACCCTTTTTCTAAAGCAACAATCAATAGAAAATTCTGAAAATCCAAAATCACCAGTTCTGGTCCATGGATAATCAACCCACTTGTTTGCTGCTAATCTATCACCTAACTTATACCATACCTACTAGATAAACGAATTAAAAAAAATCTTTAATAACATTTAAGTTCTTTTTGGTATGAAGATATCAAGAGATGAATCCAACGACTCCTTCACTGCTTGCATACATATTCAAGGGAAGCAGATCAGCACTACCAGTTACACAACACATTTGATTTCTTCTTCCTTCCTCTTCCTCAAAGTCGCATTTAGCTTTTGAAACATGGATCATAAGCCTTCTCAGGCTACATTCCCTACAGTTATTTACTATCCTAAAGTTATTTACTATAAAGGACTTTGTTTTTCATATTAAGACCAGTTATGTAGTAGAAGGATTGTCTATGACTACACTAAAACTGAGGCCATAAAATGCCTAAACAAAATGTCTCTGAACATTATCTGGGGTGGTAAAATGCTGGCATATTTTTTCCAAGTTTGGGCCACTCCATTGTAAATGGGGGGCTGGAGGACTGGAACTCAACATTTTGGAGATTATCTTTTGTTTGTTAATTTTATAACTAGAAGAGGTCAATTGAATTTAGTCTTTAATAAGGAGCCCAAACTCATCAGAGGAGAAAAACAAACAAAACAAAAATACTTGGCATCCCTAAAAGCAGGGAAGCTTTTGGGGGGGCGGTGGTGCAGAGGGAGAGAGGGAATCTTTAAGCAGGCTCCACGTCTTTCACAGAGCCCGATGCAGGGCTCCATCTCACAACCCTGGGATCATGACCTGAGCTGAAACCAAGAGTCAGACGCTTAACTGACTGAGCCACCCAGGTGCCCCAAAGCAGGGAAGCTTTTAATTTTACAAAATATTAAACATGAGTAAAAGCATAGAGATTGATGTAGAACTATATTCCTGAGCCAAAATAAGATACTTTAGCCATACAATTTATCATCTTACCTGCTGGTATCTGGTGACCATTCAGAGCCAGACACGTTTTCCCATCTGGGGCTTTCACAAAACCTTCACGACACAAACACTGAGCAGTTCCAAACCTTTCTTGGCAAATATGTTCACAGCCTCCATTTTGATGTAAGCAGGGCTGTGCTCCTTGGGGGGAGAAAGGTTCATTCACAGATGGGCTTGGAGATCAAAAAAGTGTCATTGATACAAGTCACAGGGTACAGCCTTTGGGGGGAGAAACTCAGCATATCTAAATGGAGCCTATATCAAGAGCTATTTCAGAAGAGTTCCTTAATGGAGCCAGTTCTAAGATCAGCTCAGAATGTTATTACCTTGTGAGTATTTATTGAGTATAGCCAGTACTTTGGTCAAGAAGCTCTTTAGGCAGATGTGATCCCTATTTCCTGACTCATAATCTAGTCAAACTGACAAAGGGCAATTCAGAAGGAAGTTATTATAGGACACTGAGTGATGCTCACTCACAGGCACTCTGGGGGGGGGGGGGGGTTAGGGAAAGGCCCCAGTAGAGATAGAAGCTTCTACTGCAGGTGTCTAAATCGCCCCCATCCCTCATCCTCACCCTCAGTGACTTTAACCCAAGAATCCTTGAAAAGGAACAATTTAAGTAGAAGCTGGTCAGGAGAAGTCAACATGAGAATGGAGAGATAAAGTCCAAATTCACTATCAGATTGTCTCAATTTAAACCCAGTCCAAATCTCAGGAAATCTTAATATCTACCCAAATTAGTGAGAACTGCAATACCCCCCTCCTCCTCTCCTATCAGTTAAAATAGTTACAGGTGCCAGCCAAAGAAACACTGTGGACATGTCCAGTGTACCTGGTTTTGCCAACGGATGAACTACAACCAGTGATGAAGGCTTCAGCATGCTGCCTCGGAGACGTACCCGATTTTTGCCAGTCCTCTTGTTCACCCTTATTACCGATGGCATTGTCCAATCCGAGAACCACACATGATCCTCAAACACAGCCACAGCAAATGGGTGCCCTGGAAGCAGTTTAAATCCATTACATACATCTTGTCTTTGCCATGAATATTCTTAAACGAACAAGGCTTACAACATGCTCACACGATGCCCACACTAAAGCATTTTTTTAATAGAGCTGCTAAGCAAGATACATGCCCCTACTTTTGCCTGCAGCAAGGAGACCCACATGATGAGGGAACCTCCTCTTAGAATGGGAACCGCGGGGTATGAGGTCCTCACCCTGTCACACAGCATTTGGGGAGTGGGAGAATGTGGGCTGACTGACAGAGTATCAAGAAGGAGGAGGCCAGGGCGGCAATGTTTCTGTGTTTGGTGATTCTGTCACTATAGACTAAACTTCAGTGAGTTCTTTTACCTCTCTTTGCATTAAGTTCCTTGTCTTCTGAGTGGCAACAGTAAGTAGTAGACTAAATTCACAGGTCGTTGTAAGGATCTTTAACAATTTGAAGTAACTGAATAGTAGTCTCCTTAAATTCCCATCTCCAGCAACACATTTCCCTGCATCGGACCCCCCACCTCCTTACCTCTCCTGTTATCTAGTATTAGTGCTTTGGCCTGTACTTCTGGTCTCATTCTTCCTGCCTTCTCTTGCACCTTGTTCTGTCAATCACCCCTTTCTTTTACATCTTCACTCTCTTCATTCTACTAGCTGCCTTCTCTTAGCTGATTAATATCCTCATCTCTCAGGCCCCTCTAGCTTCCTTTTGTCTTTTTCCTTCCCTTATTAGCCAAGCTGTTTAAAAGTCATTTATTATCTACTGCCTCCATTTTCATGGTGCCTATCAACGCCTAAGTGGGTTCTTCTGACCCCACCTCCACTAAGCCACCCCTCCACACCCCTGCAACTGCCCTGATAAGATATTCAAGTATTTATAGTAAGCAGGGAAATGCTGGAATACACTATCTCAAAGGGCTAGAGGCTAAAGCTAGGGAGCCCCAAATTTGGAAGCTTTAATCATGTCCAGTCACATTTCCCAGGCCAGTTTTTTTGCAAATGAGCAATGGATTTGGTGGATTAGAATGACTATCTCCCTCTTCTGGCAGCAAACTCAAATGACTTGTTCTGGTGACAACGAGTCTCCATCCATCATTATTGACCAGGGCCATTAAAATGCATTTTAGTGTCTAGCCTTTTGTTCCCAGTTAAAGCCATAAATGCAGCAAGGAAATTTTTTTATATAGCTATGAGGTTTTTGTTGTTGTTGTTATGGCAAAAAACTTCTAACGTATCATCTTAACCTAAGCGTACATTTTAGTAGTGCTAAGTACATTCACTTTGTTGTACAGCCAATTTCCAGAACTCTTTTATCTTGCAAAACGGAAACTCTAATATCCATTAAACCACAACTTCCTGTTTCCCACCCCTTTTAGTCACTGGCAAACATCATTCTACTTTTTCTATGAATGTGACTATTCTAGATACTTCAAGTAGATAGAATCATATGGTACTTGTCTTTTGTGACTGGCTTATTTCACTCACCATAATGTCCCCAGGGTTCACCCATGTTGTAGCATGTGTCAGAATTAGCTATGTTTTCTTTTAATCTTTAAAAAAAATTATTTTTCGGGCGCCTGGGTGGCTCAGTTGGTTAAGCGACTGCCTTCGGCTCAGGTCGTGATCCTGGGGTTCCTGGATCGAGTCCCGCATCGGGCTCCCTGCTCGGCAGGGAGTCTGCTTCTCCCTCTGACCCTCCCCCCCTCATGTACTCTCTCTCATTCTCTCGCTCTCAAATAAATAAATAAAATCTTTAAAAAAAAATTATTTTTCTTATTTTTAATATTGAGAATTAGCTATAGTTTTTCAACAAATACCTCACCCTAGACATAATCTTCCTTATTTTTTTAAATAGAAGAGCCACAGTTGAATGTTAAATGAAAAATGAATTCCTCAGGGGCACCTGGGTGGCTCAGTCAGTAATGTACCCAACTCTCGATTTCAGTTCAAGCCATGATCTCAGAGTCATGATATCGAGCCCTGTGTCAGTCTCCACACTGAGCCTGAAGCCTGCTTAAAATTCTCTCTCTCCCTCTCCCTCTGCCCTCTGCCCCTCCCCCATCCCTACCGTGCACGCAGTCTCGCAAAAAAAAAAAGAAAGAAATGAATGAATGAATGAATGAATGAATGAATGAATGAATGAATCCTTCAATCTTTACATTGAAAACCCAGAGTGGGCAGCTGAGAAGCCACCTCTCTATGCCAGTAGATGGCACTGTAATGATGGAAATGGTCACTTAGATCTTCTAACAAGTATCTGATAATGGGTTTATTTTAATTTAAATTCAATTAATTAACATATAATGTATTATTTGTTTCAGGGGTACAGGTCTGTGATTCATCAGTCTTATATAATACCCAGTGCTCATTACAACACATACCCTCCCCAAAGTCTATCAATAATGGCTTTTAATAGGAAGTTGTATTAGTCACAGATTACGGCAGCACAGAAATTATTCACAAAGTATCTGTTATGCTTTTTGGTTTAGCATATGGTATCTTTACATTCTGGTTAGGAATTTTCAAATCCCTTTATGCCTTCATATATCAAAGCTATAATTTTCCATTTATTTGGGTGATGTATTTTTTTAATAACATACACCCCTACCCCCAGACTCCATGACCTCACAGGAACCATTTTTGTTTTACTCTCTACTGTATCTCCACTCCCCAAGATGATTCAATAAATATCTGTTAAGTGCATGGATGAATAAAGTCTATGTTCTTACATAAGCTTATGACTTATTGTAAAGTATACCTTTAATTTTTTAAGGAATCTTAGAAGTATGTAAAATTTTCAATTATACTTATGACCTATTCAATGTATAATACAAATCTAGAAATTCATCTCCTCTAAATCAAAAGAATGGACAAAATAAATATACAGATTATTAATCCACTTCTTCGTAAAAGAGATAGACCAGATTTTTTGCATCTTCTCAACCAACCAGTTTCTGAATCTCTGAAGCATCTTCAATATCTCTCTGACTCTCATTTTGATATTCAATCTACTCCCAAATCCTCTAAGTTTTTCATTCACAGTGATTTTTTTTTTAATACTCTAATCCTCCATTCCACTTTGAAATGGCAATGTTCTATCTCAGGCCTTCATCGACTGTTGACTGGACAACTGCTGTAGACTCCCGACTAATTTCCTTCTCTCGATTTCAACCCAACCCTTATATTGCTACCTAAGTGGTTATAGTGAGGTGCCAGTCTTATCATATACATTTCCTGCTCAAGAAAATGCAATGGCTCCTGGTACATTCAGTATTTCTCTCTCTCTCTTTTTTTAAAGATTTATTTATTTATGAGAGAGGTAGTGCACGCTCACGGGAGTGGGGGGAAGGACAGAGGGGAAGCAGACTTCCCACTGAGCAGGGAGCCCCACATGCGGCTCAATCTCTTTACCTGGAGATATGACCTGAGCTGAAACCAAGAGTTACATGCTTAACCAACTGAGCTACCAAGGCATCCCCAGTATTTCTCTTTTAACATTTAACATAGAATACAGCATTTTAAATATATTTATGAACATACATGACACCCAGTGAAAAATCTGAAAATAGGAAATAAAACTATATGTATTAATCTTTGCATATGAATGGATATTCATTAATAGCTAAAGGTGATAACTATCACAGTTGTACAAATGACATTGTCTAAAACATAACAAATGACAACAACTGAATCAAGTTCTTATTCCTAAAGAGGTCTTAAAATTTTTAATATTTTCATTCTGATTTTGGGAAATCTTGGCAAAGAGAAATGATTATATCTCACTGTGTTTTATCCAGTATTCCAATGTGAAGTTAATCGTTGTAGCTCAGAAATCCCCAGAGAAGTCTGTCAGTCTGTTTGTCTCCATCTCTCTCTCATCATAAGGCTGAGGGAAGGGGGTGTCTGGGCGTGAGTTGGTGTGTGTGTGTGTGTGTGTGTGTGTAAACACATTTTGTATTTAACACTTGTCAACACTCAGGTCAAGAGGAAGAAATCACCCATCCCAAAGCCTCACCTACATCGTTCTGGGCAAGTCTTTGGCGTTTTGAACCATCCAGATTGGCCATTTCAATCACAGGCAGCTTGGCATCACACCAATACAATTTGTCAGTAAAGTAATCAATCGTTATTCCACTGGGCCAGACCAGATCAGAACTAGCTATAACCAGTCGGCCAATGCCTTGAAGGGAAGAACTTTCAATTCGTGGATTAATCCCCATATCAGTCCAGAATAATCTCCTTTAATCAAGAAAGCATACAACAAATAAAATTTGCATGAAAAAATTCTTCCATTCTTTCATCACTGAAAATGTCAGTGTAAATCACTTTAGAATAAACTGAAGTGGTACGCCAAGGAATATAGAAAGTATAGCAGTGTACATTGGACCAATAATTCTCAATAGCAAAAATTATCTTTTCTATGTAGAACATCTTGGACAGGAAATGCTGAATTAAGGCTCAGATCATTGGATAAAGAAGAAATTATTAGTTTGAAAAACTGTACTATATTACTAATTGAAAATGTGTTCAAGAGCATATTCTTAAATTAGCATTTCATGCTGCAAAAGGCAATACAATCTTGTTAACCTGTCCTTCTGCTATGCATTTATAAAACCCACTATATGTGTAAAATTACAACATGAAGGAAATTGAATATTTGTTATCTAGTTTTATACAATGTACTCAGTTAACTTGGTCAATTTTAAGTTCCATAAATCGGATGCTGAGGCACATTTTTTTTTTTAAAGATTTTTTATTTATTTATTTGACAGAGAGAGACACAGCGAGAGAGGGAACACAAGCAGGGGGAGTGGGAGAGAGAAGCAGGCTTCCTGCCGACGAGGGAGCCCAATGCGGGGCTCGATCCCACGACCCTGGGATCATGACCTGAGCCGAAGGCAGACGCTTAATGACTGAGCCACCCAGGCACCCCAATGGTCATTTTTTTTTTTTAAGATTTTATTTCTTTATTTGACAGAGAGAGAGACAGCGAGAGAGGGAAGACAAGCAGGGGGAGTGGGAGAGGGAGAAGCAGGCTTCCTGCTGAGCAGAGAGCCCGATGTGAGGCTCGATCCCAGGACCCTGGGACCATGACCTGAGCCGAAGGCAGTCGCTTAACCGACTGAGCCACCCAGGCGCCCTGAGGCAGATTTTTTTGAGGTCAATATGGTTCATTATCTTTTATACTGGTTTGTTTAGAGATGGTTACATTCTCACTCTTTTAATCATGTGGTTGGCTCCAAATCAATTACCAATTACTGCCAGTATATTATTTCCCATAGACCATCATAAATTCCCATTATAAATAAAATGATGTTTTTAGTCCTTGTTTTTTAACACCTAGGAAGGAATCCATTATTCTCCTTAATTCTCTAACCCTAACTAACATTTGTCACCAATAAGTCACTAATTCACAATTAACAACATAGTCCTCTAATCTTTCATGATTTCTATTTCCACTTATCTAAATCTAGGAATGACCTATCATTCGAACTCATCTGATGTTTTTTTCTGAGTAGAATTCATAAGCCATGCAATCCAAATACCATCCCTCGCTCAGAAAAGCAATAATGTAGATTTTTAAAGAAAATAGTTTTGTGGGCTTGCATCTAATTGGTTAATGAATTACAGCCCACTTCTTTTTTAAAAAGTTAAATTGGCTTAAAAGGACAGTTATCTGAATAACAAAATTTTTATGTAAGGACAGAAAGTCAAAAGACATGAAAGGATGAGGAAGTCATGCTAGCTATATCATTTCTGAAAGTTTGAACCAATCTCATGGATTTTCTTGATTTCTTTTTTTTTTTTTTTAAGGCTCTGTGTGTGTGTGTGTGTGTGTGTGTGTTTAAGATTTTATTTATTTGGCAGAGACACAGCGAGAGAGGGAACACAAGCAGGGGGAGTGGGAGAGGGAGAAGCAGGCTTCCCGCGGAGCAGGGAGCCCAATGCGGGGCTCCATCCCAGGACCCTGGGACCATGACCCGAGCCGAAGGCAGATGCTTAATGACTGAGTCACCCCGGCGCCCCGATTTTCTTGATTTCAGATTCCACTGAACACCTGAGGTCTTAAGACAAATTTTGGATACTAGTATATCAAACATGAACTGCCTCATGACCTCTATAGGAAAGTGATTTATTTTCACAAATACTTACTTGGCCATTGGATGGACAGCAATTCCTCGTGGCTGAGAGATGTCCTCCTTAATGATTATTTCACGGTGTTTTCCATTTAAATCACTCCCTTCGATGAGAGATTTCCTAAGATGCATGTAATATAGAGGAGCTTGTTAGATCAACTTTGCTTCTTAAACAAACATATTCCTTTTGCCTGTTACTTACTGAAATGCAAAGATGAGCATTCTAACCTCCATCACATGTGTGCATACACACACTCTCAACACAAATAAGGGACATCATACGTACACACACGCACACACATCAGGACATACACCCACGAATTCTATTATTTTAAAACAGTCTTTTAATCAGCATCCTAATATTTATCCCACACAACTAAAATACACAGTGAAAGGATAAGGTAAGAGGGGACTGTGTCAGGGGCCTGGCAGGGACAAAGCCAGAGGTGTAACCACCAACCCCTTTTCTTCACAACCTCCCAGCTCCTGCTGAACCCAGTGAAAGCCAGAGGAGAGGAGTTACCATCTTCATGGTCACAGATCACAGGAAGGAGAGAGAGCAGGCTTCGAAGGGCCACAGAGACAGCCAGCACAAGGACAACAGAGGGGAGATTTCTGTTGACTTAATTTTCTTCCATATGATTCTAAGACAAATGGGAGTACTGAAATATTATTTGCTAATCTTTACATTAAAAAAAAAGGGGGGGCCCCTGGGTGGCTCAGGTGGTTAAGTGTCTGCCTTTGGCTCAGGTCATGATCCCAGGGTCCTAGGATTGAGCCCCGCATTGGGCTCCCTGCTCCGTGGGAAGCCTGCTTTTCCCTCTCCCTCTGCTGCTCCCCCTGCTTGTGTGCTCTCCCTCTCTCTCTGTCAAATAAATAAATAAATAAAATTTAAAAAAAAGAACCCTTTGGAATCTGGCAGAGGAGAAAATCCTCTTTTCCTGATTTTTCTATCTATTTGTTAAATTGACCTTTATTGTCAAATAAATATTTACTGAGCACCTACTGTGTGTCAAGGATTGGCCTAAGCATTGGAGACAATAGTAAACAAAACCCTGTCTTTGTCCTTACAGAGCTTAGAGTTCAGCAGGAGAGGGACAGGGAATCATAGTCCAGAGAATGTAAAGAATGCAAGTGGCAGACTCAGACAGATGCCTTATCCCAGCATGCCCTCACCCTGTGTACCAACCTGGGCTTCCAAGCAGCATCCAGGAGCAGACAGGACCGCAGGCTGAAGGGATAAGAAGAACCTCCTCTCCCCACCCCGTGTTGTCTACTCAGCCTGTTTCCCTACTACAAACTAATAAGTATAATTATCTTTGATTCATTCAACCAACATCCGGAAAGGCCTATCCCTTGCTCTTGTGGGCAATGTCCGCATAAAACAGGCCTGCCCAGAAACACAAGGCAGAACTATTCTCTCCTTCCTGTTCTACTAAACACTAAGGAGGTCTCTGGGTGGTTTATTCCAGTGTACTTTCTAGCCAGTCAGTGGGGAAGGGGCTTCATATAGTCCTCCTCCTCATAGTTTCTTTTTTTTTTTTTTTTTTTTTTTCAGAATAACACTATTTTATTAATTACCTGCCATGTGGCTTATTTTCTTTTTCCAGATTTTTTTGGCAGTACACTCCCATTGCCTTTTTTTTATTCTTATGTTAATCCCCATACATTACATCATTAATTTTAGATGAAGTGTTCCATGATTCATTGCTTATGCATAACACCCAGTGCTCCATGCAGCCTCCTCATAGTTTCTATGCAGGAGACAGGCAAAGGCAAAATTGGCTGAGGGCCTGTGCTGGTCAAGGACACTACGCAAACTACCAATTCAGGGCGCTGGATAATTGGAAGCCATCTGTACAACAGGTCCCCCTTTAAAAGATAATTCTATTCCCAGATGAAGTGATCGTCGCGAAGGTACTGCTGGGTGGAAGGTATTTTTGAACTCAATGTGTCAAATTCACTCAATCACAACTGTCACTGAGCCTGTCCCTGGGTGGGAGGGAAGGAATTCTGAGGCCACTTGCTTGTGACCAGGGGAGATAAAACTGTCAGTTCTGATCTCACTGTTACATCACCTCTAAATTCTTACTGTTTTGGCAGGAGTGAAATGATGAGAATCAAGATGGACATAAGCTCCTGACTCTGGATCTGTCTTGGGCGGGATTGCTGGAATTTACTTTCACAGTTCTCAGAGGGGTTCACCCAATAATACACGTCTATTTGATTCAGCCAGAAAGCAAATCTCTAACTCCAGTGTGGGTAATGAGAAAGCAAGGCAAGCACGGACATTTGGGTGCACATGAGTTCAAGCACGACCCTTGATCTAGTGGAGCATCTTTCTCTTTCTTTCCGTGATCTAATTGGTCTCGATGCCACTGGGACGCTCCAAGACCCACCCTGTTTCCAGGGCAGGACTTGTCCATCCAGAACCCTAGAAGAGTGATTTATACCTACTGGTAGGTATAAATCATGAGCAAACATACATTTTTGCCCTCCTGATTCATTTTTACTGGGCATTTGACTTTAAGAATCAGGATTCCTTAATGCTAAATAATAGCATTGCCAGCGGAACGATCAATTAGCTTCCTTCCTACAGTGAGATGTTAATTTGACTCTGTCTTTTCCTCAGCCAGTATAAACTGTAAGCATCCACTTGGGTTCTTTTAATTGGCTAAAAGTTACCATAGAATCTAATATCATGAGCTTGGAATCTCAGTTATTTAAATCCAATTTCTAGCTAATATCAAGGTTTTCAAGCTATAAACCTCTCATTTCCAGACAAATGAAAGGTTTTCTTTTAACAGCTGCCGTTAGAGGCAAGAGGACTTAGAAGGGCTTGTTATTACCGAAGTCAATGAACTCGGGAAGCTGAGGTCTGATTCTCCAGGACACGGAGGTGCATGACTATCTCCTGAAGGCATTGCCTTGCAGTAGGTACCATGGGGCCATTAATCAAACACTGAAAATTAAAGGTGCCATGCAAATGTGGGAAGTACGAGAAGACCTGGCATGCTCAGAGGGGCCCGGAGTGGCTCACATCTGCTGTCCTGATCAACGTTTACCTTTCTGAGAACAGCCACGGACAAGCTCTGTTATTATGCACAGCTGACATTTTAAAACGTCCTTTTAAGTAGGTTCAACACAGAGGAGGCTGTTATTATGATTTTTATCATTACTACAACTGAAATTCCAGATCTACTTCTTGCTGGCTGCTTGCCATTGGGAAAGGTATCTTACCTCTTTAATTCTCCATTTTTTCATCTTTAAATTGGGGATAAGAAAACTTAGCCTTTTGGGATTTACAGTGTCTGATGCATTTCAGTTACGTAATAAATAAATATCCAAAGAATAAAGGAATAAAGGTATGACAAGTAAACAAACAAAAATGAATGAATGAATGAATGAATGAATGAATGAATGAAAATGGACTTACCCTGGATATAAAAGTACTGTATTATTGATAACTATACACCACACCGGCAGCACACGTAGCTCATTTTTAAAACACCTTTTGTTTCCCATGGATTATCCAGACCAAAAGATTTTTCTGGGACATAGGAAACCTACCCCCAAGCATATAAACCTGTTCCCTGGGACTTCTCCTTCTGGGTTGGGACCGCTGACTTCATAGAGGTGAAATCCTAATTAATTCTATCTTCTTTTACTTCAACACAGCTGCATAGGTTGACTACCCCTACACTCTACAGCCTTAAGTTACTCTGAGAAAACATCCTAGAGCACAGCGAATTTCTAAGACTATCTTGGGTCAGCTGTCTGTACTCTGTGGTTGGCTGCCTCTCTCGGAAGCAAGGAGTGGGCTCTCAGTAGCATACATGAGAGATGCAGCCACTTCCCTCCTCCAGCTTCCTCCCACCGCCACCATTCCTGGAGCTCACACAAGCCCCACACACACCAAGCGCGGCTGCCCCCCCTACAGCCCCAAGAGCAGTACGCCCAGGGGGCAGAAACATCATAGCTTCTCTCTAGTTCTGTTCTTTACCACATCAGGGCAAGTAGACCATCTCTCCAACCTTGTGAGGACTTGGCTCACAACTCCCATGTTCAGCCTTGCTCCCTCCTTCATGCTTATTCACGGGGAGACAGCATGTGCCTTCTAGTCTGTACAATGAAGGGGTTGGGCTAGTTGATTCCCGGAGCCTCTTCTAAAGCTCCCTCTGGGTGTGTACACCCTTCCGTTGGCAATTATTTATGGACCGCCTTCTTTGTATATCTCTTGTACTGATATGTAGAACAAGCTTTTGTACTGGGTTTTCCTGGGTCCATGTGCCTTAGCTCGCTGGCTAACCTGTGAGCCGACTGCAAAGATGGACACTCCTCATGCTCCTTTGCATCTCCCACATTACCCAGGATACGGCCTTATCCATAACAGATGCTCAAAGGGTGCTCACTGATTGTATTCAGACAGGCTTTGCATTTCTCTGATTACCACAGCCTGAAGTGCAAAAACACATGTTACTTTCTTGGCCCTCACAATTCTCCCTTGGATACAGATCCAGTCTTGGTGAAAGGAGGACCATCCTGCTTGGTAGTGTGGAGGGAATGGAGGGAATGGAGGGAACATTAGGGGCATCTTTCCTCCAGTCCCACCCAAGCACCCAGCGTTATTTTCTTGGGTTCAAAGTGGAGGATGAGGCCAGTGGTATCACCTACGTCACCACTCCCATCCCACGTGGCTTAAAAGTGAAGGAGGAGCCCTACCCTCTGTCCGTCCAGTAGAATTTACGGTCAATCCAATCGATGGCAAGACCTTCTGGCATATCTACTGCTTCCTCAATAAGCCTTTCTCGCTGGGAACCATCCCTATTAGCTCTCTCTATCCACTTCAGGGTTGTATGGGCGAAGTATATCTACAAAAAAGAACATAGGCATTTCTATCTGATTTGTTTTTAAAAATTAATGTGGCATATATACAAACATGGTTAGCAAATCTTCAGATCATATAGTGTAATCATTAAGAGATTGGCTTTGGAGATAGACACACCTACAACTGAATTCCACCTCCCACCTCTGCTGCTTTCCAGATGTGTGTAAACATAAGCAAGTTCCTCCAAGTCTCAGATACTCAGTGTCTTCATATATATATATATGCCTGTCCCTGGCACATATTTCTATTGCTACTGGGTAATTCATTAATCTTCGATAATTGGTGAATAACCAAGCCATTGTACTTAAACCCTAATGGTTTCTACTGTCTGAAAGGGAGCAATGATGAGCAGTTAGTGGGGGCCTCAAGCTGGGCTGTGACTTCCCCCGCTCAATCCACAGCCCTGCACTTCACTGCAAGTCTGGATACACAGGTTCCTCTCCTGGTTTGGGCCCTTCTTTGTTTAATTGAGTTGGCCAAGTCATTAACCTCAATTTTCTCAACTGGAAAAATGACAAAGTTAGACTAGGTATTTGCTAAAGTTTCTTTCATCTCTAACCATATTTAATTTCTTTTTAATTAATCCATCTTATTCAACAGAACATAACTTGCAGATGCAAAGCTCCTTTTCAGTCTCCTATGCAGACTAGCAAACCGGTACAAGAATTTTGTGAGTGTTAAAAACTGCCGTGGGTCAGCTGATAATTTAATGATAGCGTTGGTGGAATTTTAGCTGAGTAGGTATATGTACCTAAACTTATAATCAATGATGAGAATGTTCATAAAATGGTAATTCGTTAGCTAATGGGTTGTCATCTTTCTAGATAAGATAGAAAAGGTTCTATTCCATAATACAAAAGTGAGTACCTCTCATATTAAAAAAAACACTAAGCTAGAGCTCTTCTCAAACTCAAATGTGCACACGAATCACCTGGAAATCTTGTTAAAATGCAGGTTCTGCTTCAGGGGTCAGAGCCTGGGAGTCTGCAATACTAATAAGTTCCAGGTGAGGTTGATGCTGCCGGTCCAAGGACCACAGTTTGAAGAGCAAGAACATGAGAACTTGACCAGGGAAATGAAAAACAGCCACATGACTAAAAGTTCATTCTAGGTCTCTTTATTCACCTTATAAAAAATGCTGACTGTGTAGGAAAAAAACTAGTTTGGTAATAAATGAATCTTTTTTTTTTTTTAAGATTTTATTTATTTATTTGATAGAGAGAGAGACAGCGAGAGAGGGAACACAAGCAGGGGGAGTGAGAGAGGGAGAAGCAGGCTTCCCGCTGAGCAGGGAGCCCGAAGTGGGACTCGATCCCAGGACTCTGGGATCATGACCCGAGCCGAAGGCAGACGCTTAACGACTGAGCCACCCAGGCGCCCCGGTAATAAATGAATCTTGAACTGATTTTTCCTATTAATTATTTTCTATTAATATAATTCTTCCAGGGAGTCATATAAATTCAGTTCAAGGAAAAGAAAGGAGGATTTTTTTTGCTAGTGTTTAAGTATAAAACTTCTATTTGCAAAAAGAGTTATATTTGGCTATCCATCCATAGCAATTAAACACAGAATCAATCAGCTTCACTCTGTCTCTTTTGACCATTTACCAGACTGCTTCAAATCAGGAAGACACAAAAATACAAAGCTTAGGGGCGCCTGGGTGGCTCAGTCGGTTAAGCGTCTGCCTTCGGCTCGGGTCATGATCCCAGGGTCCTGGGATCGAGCCCCGCATCAGGCTCCCTGCTCAGTGGAGAGCCTGCTTCTCCCTCTCCCTCTGCTGCTCCCCCTGCTTGTATGCTCTCCCTCTCTCTCTCTGTCAAATAAATAAATAAAATCTTTTTTAAAAAATACAACGTTTAAAATTCTAGGAATGAATGCACTATCTAGTAGTAACTAAATAATTAATTAATAACTACGTAAATTTATAACTACTGGGTGATTAAACTCCAGAAGACACCATAACATATCATTTCAAGCACATTCTACCTAGCACAAATATAACCCACCCCGGCCTCCCACTCATTCTGCTATTGGCAAATAACTAAAAACCTATTTATAGCAGTCCTCCTGTGTGTACAGCACTGTGCTAGCCTCCCAGCCTCATCTCCAAAGAGGAAACTAAATTTAAGATCCTGCTCAGTCATTCCCAATAAAATGTCTGAGTCACAGTAAGGGCCCCTAGGGTAGGGTTATGAGAACAGAAGCGTCCTTAACATTTCCCAAATTATGCTCCAATGTCTGTATCTACATTTTTCTGCACCTAATCATTCTGAGCTTAGCAGAGGATTGTCAAGTAGCTCAGGTCATCTGTTAGGATAAAATCCTCTACTCTGTCCTTAAACCATAGCCACATCCGCTCAAGAGACAAAACCATACCTTATTTTCCACAGGGTCGTGATCAAGGGCAAAAACCATTCCCATTTGCTGGCTGAGCAGGGTTCTATAATCTGTTCCATCAAAATGCATGTGTCGAATATCTTGAGAATTGGCAAACAGTAAAAATGGTTGTGGTCCTGTTAAATTCAAGTATGCCTCCATTTAAAATATGCCTTGGAACCCAGTAAGCACTTCTGACTTTTCCTTTTCATTGTACCCTCTTTCTGCAGTTCTTGTCTTCTCTATTTCCCACCAGTGAGGTGTAGGTTAAGACAGGCAAAAAGATTTCTTCTATGAGGTGACATTCTACCAGAATTCCATTTTACTGGATCCCCCTCTGTCTAGGTGCCTGCTTTTAAAATGCAAATTACTTATAAAAAGAGCCAACATTAAACAGCCAACACCATAGCTAGATGATGCAAGTCTTAGTGCCATAATCTCCTTGATTCACACGTATGGAAACATACTAATATTAGCAAATTATATTAATTCATGTCCAAATAAATACCCTTCTCTGACCGAGCACTTCTGAAAGAGAGGCATGATTATCTGAATTAATAACAAGACCCCTGATAATTTTCAGAGCTCAGATTATGCTATATTCACTAAGGCTCTAAGATCTTAAGAGTACTGGTGTCTAAGGCAAGTTCTGCAGGCTCCTCATTATGTTATCCCAGATTATAAACATAATGAACCTAGGGAGAGATAACATCAATTCGGTATAAATCTAGGAATCCAAGGCTGGTCAAAGGACACAAGAGATAGAATGTCAGAAGATGAGAAAATTATTCAAGCATTCAACTGCTTATTAACTCTTGACATAAAAAGGACAGAATCTGTCAAAGTATTATGATGGTTACATTCACTGAAGAGATGAAAATCAAATCAATCAACAAATATTTATTAAAAGCCTCTAAACTATGAAGTCTTAAAATTATTCTGGTCATGATTTTCACATATATGGGAATGTCATACTTGATGTAATGGCAAATCTTTGCCGAGTGCTAATGAACTTAGACACATTCCTCAAAAACATGGTTATTTATTTATGTGATTCTTATTTATATTTACAATGTGATTTGTTTTCTATTTCCAAAAACAAAAAATCGGACGTTCCACTCAGAAGCCAAAAGCAATTTAACTCCCCACCTTTCTAAATAAAATGTTTTCACATAATCTTTTTGCAGACACACTTTCAAACATCCACAGCACCAACCTGATGCCACACAGCTTTTTTTGTCCAGTTGTAGATCATACCCAGGAAAGCAACCACATTCCCAGGAGACTGGGCTGAGAGGGAGGCAGAGCTGGCTACAGCCCCCATTATCAGGTGATGAACAGCCTACAAAAACAAGCACTTGCTAATGATGCCACGCCATTCAAAAATATAATAATTTTTCATCAAAATATTGAGTGAACCCAGTATATGTAGGTTTTTAAAACCATTTCCACAATCTTTTATACTGCTGCAATCAAGGTTATTTTTCAGAGACTAGGAGCAAAATGTCACCGTATTCTATTTTCCTATAACCTCATAGCTTGAATGTTAACCCTTCACATCCCAAAAGCCCCTGTCCTCCGTTCTACAACTGAGCTTGAAGACCAAGTGCACCGACAGTGGCTGGAATAAGAAATATATTTTGATGAGTTTGACAGCTGGTCCAACTCTTGCTAGTGAGTAATATATTTTTTTCTCACATATATTTTTGGCCTTGTGATTTTCTTTTTGCTTTCTTTATTTAAAAAAAAAAGAGCCACACATAACTCTTATGCTAATTTTAAGTTACATCCAGCCCTCTATATGCTTAAGTCTCTATGAAGATAAAAGTAGAGAGGTATTTATTAGCTGTGAGGAATAGGCTAAAAACTCTGCGTCCATTGTCTTGCTCAATGCTGGCCACAAATCCAGGAGGCAGGGCTGACTAGCTTCTACAGATGAAAACAATGAGACTAAGGGAGGGCAAGTAACTAGTCCAAAATCACGTTGCTATTAACAGGTAGTGCAACTTTAGAGCCCTTGCCCGTAACTACTACACTATGCTATCTAAAAACAAAAAAACACACAAGTAAAAACCTGATATAAATCTATATATGACTCTGTTGCACAAATATCTTTTAATGTGTGATGTTGGAAAGTCTCTTCTCCTTTATAAATAAGATCGATCTTTAGGTGTCACTCAGAAAATTAATGTTTTCAAACAAAAAGTAAATTAACTTACCACTACATGTTTTTCCATCTGTCTCAAGCACTGAGCCTTCAGGACAAAAACATATGGGACCATCTGATGTCAGAACACAGTCATGGCTACATTTGGATGTATTGCTTGGACAGGAAATTAATTCTAATTAATGAAGCATAAGGTCAAGATTAGTGTTAAATCAGATTTGTGAAAATTTAGCAAAATAACTGCTAACAAAAATGCTATGCTAAAAAGAGTAAGTTAAACCAAGGATCAGACATTTATGAAATGCTGTGGTAAGGGAGATGTAAAAATAAAGAAAAATCTCAAATCTAAAAAAATTTAAGAAAGACCTCATTTTGGAAAGTGCTTCTAGCTTCCTCTAAGTTTCTTTTATGTCAAATAATATTTTCAAAGTTATTAGTCATCAAAATATTTTAAATGGAACTTAGCCAAATGATTTGCAAGTTCATCTGGAAAACTAATTGTATATGTAAAAAAAAAAATTAAGAACATTGTATGAGCATGGTTAGGTGTAGGAAGAGAATGAAAGGCTCTTAACAAACATCAAAATATATCATTAAGGAGCATTAACTAAATGAGTGCAGGAATAGACAGAGAGGACAATAGAACCAGAGAGAAAGCTCATTTTAGAAGACTCAAGTATGTTTAAGAATGTAGTATGTGGGGGCGCCTGGGTGGGTCAGTCGTTCATTAAGCATCTGCCTTTGGCTCAGGTCATGATTCCAGGGTCCTGGGGTTGAGCCCTGCATCGGGCTCCCTGCTCCGCAGGAAGCCTGGTTCTCCCTCTCCCACTCCCCCTACTTGTGTTCCTTCTCTCGCTGTGTCTCTGTCAAATAAATAAATAAAGTCTTAAAAAAAAAAAAAAGAATGTAGTATGTGATAAAGGTATTTTTTTTTTAAGATTTATTTATTTATTTGAGAGAGAGAGAGGGAGCATGAGCGCATGCATGCACGAACTGCGGGAGTGGGGAGGGGGAGAGAATCTTCAAGTAGACTCCCTGCTGAGCACGGAGCCTGATGCAATCCCAGGACCCAAGAGATCATGACCTGAGCCAAAACCAAGAGTCAGATGCTTAACCGACTGAGCCACCTAGGTACCCCTGTGGTAAAGGTATTTTAAATCATTGAGCATGTAAAAGATCCTCCAATATGACACATAAATAACTGAGAAATGATTTGGGGCAAAAGTTAAATCCCTACCCTACACCATACGTCAAAATAAATTCCAAGTAAATCAAAGATTAAAATATAAAATATGTGTACCATAGAGGTCTTAAAAGTTTTGACAATCAAGTGAGATTATGCATGTCATGCTTGGCACATAGTGGATTCTATAACAGATTAACATCATACACTTTAGTATATTTGCCAACAGGTAAATCACTTGGTATTAGAAGAAGGGCAAGTTCCACAGACAGGCACAAATGTAGTGGGTAATTTCCAAAAAAATTCATTACCATCTATTTTTAAATGCCTTAAATGCCATGAGCACTTATGACACTCAGACTGACCTATTCACCATCATTTCTGGAACAGGACTAGACAATATACATGGCTTTAAACATTAATTTCTACTTAGTTATGTTAGTAGATTCAGTAAGAAACCTATAAGAAGGTACCTGAGTATATGATCCTAAATTGAAAATGGGCATGTCCATATAAATTCATAGTATATTTCTCTTTTTTTTTTTTTTTTTTAAAACTGGGTTTCCTTTTTTTTTTTTTTTTTTTTTAATTTTTTTATTCTTATGTTAATCCCCTTACATTACAACATTAGTTTTAGATGAAGTGTTCCATGATTCATTGTTTGTGCATAACACCCAGTGCTCCATGCAGAATGTGCCCTCCTAAATACCCACCACCAGGCTAACCCATCCTCCCACCCCCCTCCCCTCTAGAACCCTGTTTGTTTTTCAGAGTCCATCGTCTCTCATGGTTCGTCTACCCCTCCGATTTCCCCCGCTTCATTCTTCCCCTCCCGCTACCTTCTTCTTCTTCTTCTTTTTTTTTTTTTCTTAACATATATTGCATTATTTGTTTCAGAGGTACAGATCTGAGATTCAACAGTCTTGCACAATTCACAGCGCTTACCAGAGCACATACACTCCCCAGTGTCTATCACCCAGTCCCCCCATCCCTCCCACCCCACCCCCCACTCCAACAACACTCAGTTTGTTTCCTGCGATTAAGAATTCCTCATATCAGTGAGATCATATGATACATGTCTTTCTCTGTTTGACTTATTTCACTCAACATAATACCCTCCAGTTCCATCCACGTCGTTGCAAATGGCAAGATCTCATTCCTTTTGATGGCTGCATAATATTCCATTGAATATATATACCACATCTTCTTTATCCATTCATCTGTCGATGGACATCTTGGCTCTTTCCACAGTTTGGCTATTGTGGACATTGCTGCTATAAACATCGGGGTGCACGTAGCCCTTCGGATCCCTACTTTTGTATCTTTGGGGTAAATACCCAGTAGTGCAATTGCTGGATCATATGGTAGCTCTATTTTCAACTTTTTGAGGAACCTCCATACAGTTTTCCAGAGTGGCTGCACCAGCTTGCATTCCCACCAACAGTGGAGGAGGGTTCCCCTTTCTCCGCATCCCCGCCAACATCTGTCGTTTCCTGACTTGTTAATTTTAGCCATTCTGACTGGTGTGAGGTGATATCTCATTGAGGTTTTGATTTGGATTTCCCTGATGCCGAGCGATATTGAGCACTTTTTCATGTGTCTGTTGGCCATTTGGATGTCTTCTTTGGAAAAATGTCTGTTCATGTCTTCTGCCCATTTCTTAATTGGATTCTTTGTTCTTTGGGTGTTGAGTTTGATGAGTTCTTTATAGATTTTGGATACTAGCCCTTTATCTGATATGTCATTTGCAAATATCTTCTCCCATTCTGTCGGTTGTCTTTTGGTTTTGTTAACTGTTTCCTTTGCTTTGCAAAAGCTTCTTATCTTGATGAAGTCCCAATAGTTCATTTTTGCCCTTGCTTCCCTTGCCTTTGGCGATGTTTCTAGGAAGAAGTTGCTTCGGCTGAGGTCAAAGAGGTTGTTGCCTGTGTTCTCCTTTAGGATTTTGATGGACTCCTGTCTCACATTGAGGTCTTTCAACCATTTGGAGTCTATTTTTGTGTGTGGTGTAAGGAAGTGGTCCAGTTTCATTCTTCTGCATGTGTCTATCCAATTTTCCCAACACCATTTGTTGAAGAGACTGTCTTTGTTCCATTGGACATTCTTTCCTGCTTTGTCGAAGATTAGTTGACCATAGAGTTGAGGGTCCATTTCTGGGCTCTCTATTCTGTTCCATTGATCGATGTGTCTGTTTTTGTGCCAGTACCATGCTGTCTTGATGATGACAGCTTTGTAATAGAGCTTGAAGTCCGGAATTGTGATGCCACCGGCTTTGCTTTTCTTTTTCAATATTCCTCTGGCTATGCGGGGTCTTTTCTGGTTCCATACAAATTTTAGGATTATTTGTTCCATTTCTTTGAAAAAAGTGGGTGGTATTTTGATGGGGATTGCATTGAATGTGTAGATTGCTCTAGGTAGCATTGACATCTTCACAATATTTGTTCTTCCAATCCATGAGCATGGAACGTTTTTCCATTTCTTTGTGTCTTCCTCAATTTCTTTCATGAGTATTTTATAGTTTTCTGAGTACAGATCCTTTGTCTCTTTGGTTAGATTTATTCCTAGGTATCTTATGGTTTTGGGTGCAATTGTAAATGGGATCGACTCCTTAATTTCTCTTTCTTCTGTCTTGTTGTTGGTGTATAGGAATGCCACTGACTTCTGTGCATTGATTTTATATCCTGCCACTTTACTGAATTCCTGTATGAGTTCTAGCAGTTTTGGGGTGGAGTCTTTTGGGTTTTCCACATAAAGTATCATATCATCTGCAAAGAGTGAGAGTTTGACTTCTTCTTTGCCAATTTGGATGCCTTTGATTTCTTTTTGTTGTCTGATTGCTGTGGCTAGGACTTCCAATACTATGTTGAATAGCAGTGGTGATAGTGGACATCCCTGCCGCGTTCCTGACCTTAGGGGGAAAGCTCTCAGTTTTTCCCCATTGAGAATAATATTTGCTGTAGGTTTTTCATAGATGGCTTTTATGATATTGAGGTATGTACCCTCTATCCCTATACTCTGAAGAGTTTTGATCAAGAAAGGATGCTGTACTTTGTCAAAAGCTTTTTCGGCATCTATCGAGAGGATCATATGATTCTTGTTCTTTCCTTTGTTAATGTACTGTATCACATTGATTGATTTGCGGATGTTGAACCAACCTTGCAGCCCAGGGATAAATCCCACTTGGTCATGGTGAATAATCCTTTTAATGTACTGTTGGATCCTATTGGCTAGTATTTTGGTGAGAATTTTTGCATCCATGTTCATCAGGGATATTGGTCTGTAATTCTCCTTTTTGATGGGGTCTTTGTCTGGTTTGGGGATCAAGGTAATGCTGGCCTCATAAAATGAGTTTGGAAGTTTTCCTTCCGTTTCAATTTTTTGGAACAGTTTCAGAAGAATAGGTATTAATTCTTCTTGAAATGTTTGGTAGAATTCCCCTGGGAAGCCATCTGGCCCTGGGCTTTTGTTTTTTGGGAGATTTTTGATGACTGCTTCAATTTCCTTAGTGGTTATAGGTCTGTTCAGGTTTTCTATTTCATCCTGGTTCAGTTTTGGTAGTTGATACATCTCTAGGAATGCATCCATCTCTTCCAGGTTATCTAATTTGCTGGCATAGAGTTGCTCATAATATGTTCTTATAATTGTTTGTATTTCTTTGGTGTTGGTTGTGATCTCTCCTCTTTCATTCATGATTTTGTTGATTTGGGTCATTTCTCTTCTCTTTTTGATAAGTCTGGCCAGGGGTTTATCAATCTTGTTAATTCTTTCAAAGAACCAGCTCCTAGTTTCGTTGATCTGTTCTACTGTTCTTTTAGTTTCTATTTCATTGATTTCTGCTCTGATCTTTATGATTTCTCTTCTCCTGCTGGGTTTAGGCTTTATTTGCTGTTCTTTCTCCAGCTCCTTTAGGTGTAGGGTTAGGTTGTGTACTTGAGACCTTTCTTGTTTCTTGAGAAAGGCTTGTATTGCTATATACTTTCCTCTTAGGACTG